TAATGTTGGCAGCTGTTCAAATCTGGCCACAACACCACTTAACATGTTTTACTGGTAGTATCATTATGTTCTGCAGCTGGCAATTACTACAAATATATTTACAACAGTCTCTGACGCCACTAAACGTACTTACACATGACAGCATGACCTGTGATGGATTTAAATTCATTCCGTTTCTTGACACCTCACAACCCCTTGGTGCCCTTCCCCTGTGTCCAAAGAGGAGACCTACAATGTTGTGCAATCATCATAATTTAGTATCGTTTCCGAAATAAGACCTCTATATATGATTGTACAGACAATGACAAGTTCATGGATTGTCTTATGTATTGCTGTTATACCTACTAAAGAAAGAAGATATTTGTGTGTATCGTTTTTACGTTCATGAAAACAATGAAAGGTAGTACAGGCACAATGAGATATGATTTTCTTCTCTCCTAGACTATTGCAACAGGCCTGGTAGCTGTAAGTGTAATTAATTACATTTAGTTGAAGACTTTTATAGTTAGATTTACGAGGGCACTGGCTCAGTTTTAAATCCGGCATCTTAGAAAAGTGCTTTGGCGGTTTGACAGTTACGGGCAAATTATATTATGTGACACTGCACTTCGGGGTACAGCAAACTTAATTAGTTTTATGCAAAATTAAAAATTAATCAAGTGTTAATTGGAGATATGTTCAAAATAAAATCTGTACTGAAAGTGCTGTAAATTGAAAATCCTCCAACAGGGTTAAATGAAGGGCTTTTTCCTCTTGGTTGCGTGTACCCTTGCGTTAAGAGACATATTTACGTTTAAAACATAATACAACACTACAAATTTTGGTAGTTAATCATTTAAATATGTCATATTTCCTTATCCGTTCAGTTTGTGGTTATCAATAAACCCATGCAGCAAAAAGAAGGATTTTAATACAATGTTTTTAATGTGAACATAACCGCTGGTTGTTGTGACTTGAGGTGTTTTCTGTTGTACAAATTGCAACTTTCTTTCCGCCACTAATGTTAGCAGACTGCAGCAACTGCAAGCCATAAATAGTATGCTAATCGAGTTGGTTGCGCTACATGCGCCGTAACCGATGTGAATCCTCGGCCTGGGGCGTGATATAGCGTCGACGTGGGACGGACATGGCGTCGGAAGAGCAACAGCGGTCGGTTTGTTTGACTGCTGTATATTGTTAAATGCCGTACGCTGAGCAACAGGTGTACATGTGATTATGATTTTATTCAAGGATTGCCCATCCCTTTGTCCTGAGAGATATATATTTCGCAGGAAACCAACGCCCGCCTCGGACAATTTTGTGACTGCTGTGACACGGACAGAGCTGTTTGAATATGCTTGGGATACGCCTGCGGCATGAGAGATGGTTCACATCAACTTTCCATATTTGTTTGTGAACTAACTGGTAACTTTCAGGTCTGCACCAGTATAGTCGTTATCAACCAGGAACACTGATTGACATCCTTCACAGTGGCCTGTTCTTTAAGGGGCGTGTGTCCTGTGTGAGATGGGCGTGGATACAGCGTATATCCGGGCTTTCTGCCTGAAGAGCAAGCCATGACGGGTAGTTTCGCATCCCTTCAACGGACGGGCGATAGACAACCGAGTCTTCTCTGAGTTGTACAAAAGAGCAAACTTGGCAAGTTGGGCGAGTACACTCTGAGGCATTACGACTTGCGATGTATGATGGAATGCTTGCTGTACCCGAGAGGTGACGTCCGGGTGCTTGGTAGTGGAGAGAAATGTAGACACTCTCGGGCTGGCAGAAAACTCGCCACGGCACAGTTTTTCGAATGACTGGACGCACGGTTTACTGTCTGTCAATATGCGTGTCTTGAACTCTGAACTACACAGGCGAGGACTTTATATGCGCCATTAAAGTAACGAGGACTGTCAACCTTTTTTGGGCGAGCGCATGTGGATAGAGTGGCTATCTTATGTGGACTGGCCTTGATAGTACCTTCCTGCCATATTCATCCAAGCATTGTGACAGGTTTAGGGCCAATGAGAGTCTTGTGTGCAGCCAGAAACAAGTCATTTTGACGAAGTGCATCCACAACACGATGCCAGTTCTGAAGAAGATCATCATGGTTGTTTGCTCCACAATACATACTAGTACATGGTACAGTGCAGTTTCAGAGCCAGGCATTCCCAGGCGCACCTGGCATAAACTCCTTTAAAGGGTGTAACCACTCCACAGTACTTAAGGGACTCTCGAGAAAATGGAATTTGGTGGAATGCAAGGGTACAGTCTGTGGTTATTATATACTCCCTTGAGGCAATCAGTCGCAATGTCGAATCGACGTCCGGCATGAGGGGGGCTGAGTTTTGCTGTAACGACCAATGTCGGCAAACGCTGGACAAAGCGAAAACCGCCACTCGACTTTTTCACCAGGAAATATGGGTTCACATATTCGACAGGAAAGCCAACATTTTCTTGTCTCACAAAAACACCCATGTGGTTACGACTAAACATGACCCATATTGACTACTGCTTTGAATGGGGCTGAAGCACCATTGTATCCTTTTATATATGTTAGGGTCGAACACTTCATCTTACTGTCACAGAAGTGATCGGAAGTTGTCTCTGACATCTGATGGGAATGTGTTGTCTTGATCAAGTTGTATGGCATCGGAGTGAACACCATCGGAGTGAACACTATGGGAGTGAACACCATCGGAGTGAACACCATCGGAGTGAACACTATGGGAGTGGTCCCGAACACAAACTGATGCAGGTGAAATAGCTACCTTGTTGTGATGGGGATCTGCGTGAGTACTTAATACAAATCAGCACAGACCTGCCAGAAGTGCTCATGGCGCTTGAGAACTTCTAGTCAGATTAGTTACGAATACTTTCCCTGCGACACTGTTGATCGTATCAGGCCACTGACTGTCACATATCCACATCTATGTCTTCGACGACCAGGCATTCCAAGCATCAAGGACAACGGTGAATCGAGTTTCCCCTTTGACTTTAAGAGGCGAGATTCCATCTGCATGACGGGCGGACTGTGAGATGGCTTTCACCTGTACGCCCAGGAATGTGTCGGTGGACATGCGAATCATATTCCCTGTGGCCCCACAATCGATGGTGATATCAGCTTCTCGATGACCATAGAGAGCAACTGACTGTGTGCGCAGCACATTAGCTTGATCGGAGGGTTCTTGGGCGCACAAATACTGGTCATTGATGTCTTCACAAACATCTGGTGGGGTGAAGTCACAATCAGTATTTTGAAAAGTGTCTGAAATTGTACGAGCTTTAGTTATATATATCTTCTGTCGTGATAAGGTAGGGATGTCTGAGGGAAGTGACCTTTGTTGGCACGACCGGCTTGTTGACATAATGCACACACTTTGGGGGTTGTGGAACTTCACGTTCTATAAAGGTTGGTCTGCTTATTGGCTGACTTGGATGGAGCTTAAAATCACTAAAATCCAGGAAAATTGGCACCAGTTGACTGGAAACCGTAATGTACTCAAATAGTTTGCCATATGCGCTCTGTAGAAGTTGTGTGTCTTGATATAACATTTTGCGATTTGCCCTACCATGAGTTCGAGCATATTCACCCTTTGTTGTGCAGTATGTCTCCTAGCCTCAGCTACTGCTTCACCATCGTCAACATACTCTCTGATTGGGGCATTCATAGTTTTCTTCGTGGCGCTGTCTACAAGAAATGGGGCGAGGTTTTGGTCAAGTGACAGTATGTTTCCAATTCTCGAACGAATTATTGGGGAAGAACAACAGGACAAAATCGGTGGCCGAGTCCAGACAAAATCGAGTGTCCGGGTCCAGACGCTGTTTGGCTGGTTGTTCACTTGGGTGTGCTAAACGTGCTATACAGGTAATTAGACATGTAGCGCGGGTGGGCGTGAGGAAGTTCGGCGCGGCCACAAACCACTACAGCCAGTATAGTCGCTACCACCCAGGAACACTAATAAACACGATGTCCGTTGCAGACGAGGTTTACTACTCAGAGATGAGAACAAGACTGATGTCATTGCTAATTAACCAAGCTCCTTCCTAGCGCGTGACTCCTTCGTTACACTCTCGGTAACATCGCTGTCACCAGTGTGGGCGCGGCCATTACAAGAATCTTGAAATTTGCCCTCTAACCCTAAATTTAGTAACGTTTATACTTTTGTTTATGTCTTTGGGAATGCTAATACAGTTATTTTTTAAAAGGTTAACGAATGACTATATTTCACAGATGAATTTAACTTTTTGTTTGTTTGATCAGATTGGTTCGAGATTGCAGTAGAACAGAAAATCACTCAAATTGTGCCTTACATACTTACAATACCAATCACATGATATATGAAATGAAATAGAAATTTAAATTAATTTGACAAACCAAGAAAAGAATTTTTTAGGGTCAGTGTATTCGGCATCACGGTAGTGATCATCACTTGTTTCTAAATATAACGCTCAGTCGGTTGCGAGTTCAACTCCAAGCATGGTTGTGACCACCTATCACAGTGGGGGTTTTGACTGGTGGCAGCGATAGTATGGAGAGCTCCGCCAACGGGCTATCGCTGTGAGGAGCCTGCTAAGCAATGCCGCAAGAGATTACATAACATACAACTAGTCACACTGGCGCTGTGACTATGAATGTGACTATGACACAATGATTTGAATTCCTGTTGTGAATTTAAATATTTCATATTACCATTCACAAGTTGTGCAATTTTGTGATATGATTTGACAGTTAATTGTGAACCAAAAAACTAAAATGATAGATGAATAAAACAATGTAACAGAAGACTATGACACTGTTCTCTACTGTCCTCCATTTCCCATACTGCAGGCCTTCGCATTGGTCAATAGACAAGTTGATTTATTGTGGGTAAATTAGGATAAGTACTGTATACTCCATCCTGACCATCAGAACATATCAAACACGCCAGACTTATTTTTATCAATTGACGGGCAGGTGAATAGATGGCTTAATCTACACTTTGTTTAAGTTGTGGTCGTTCCATTTCAGTAATTCCAAGTGATGCATGGCAGACCTCCCAGGAGGTACTTGAAGAATGAAAACCAGGTAAGATGCTCGGAGTCAGAAGGTAGACTTCCCAGGGCTGGGTGTTTGGTTTGGAGACCAGTAGGTATTCGGCCAGACGATGTATGATTACTATTGCAACCGGAGGATTAAATACTTATCTGATCATTTCGTAAGTCTTCAAAATTATGAAATGGTCGGCCGATATAAAGTTTACCACGTGAAACCCTCGAATCAGGGCGATTCTCTATGACTTGTAAACATCATTATATATATTTCATGCATACGGGTGTTTGGTTTGGAGACCAGTAGGTATTTGGCCAGAAGATGTATTATTACTATTGCAACCGGATGATTAAATATGTATCTGATCATTTCGTAAGTCATTCAAAACTATGAAATGGTCGGCCGATATAATGTTTACCACGTGAAACCATCGAATCAGGGCGATTCTCTAAGACGTACACATCACAAAATATATATGATGCATATGGAATGAAGATTTGTTAACTGTCAGAAAATAGGTCCCTAATTTGCCTTCTGGTATTGTGTGGGAAGACCTAATATGTGATGAATAATGAAGCTTGATTACAAATCATTCATCAAGTAAATCACTATCTGTCCCAAACATATCGCATACATTTACAAAATAAATAATATTAAAATTCAGTGCCAGTGCTTTTCAGATTGTACGAACTGTATTGTAAATTTAATTGAACCATTATTTCCTTCAGGGACGACATCTCACATGCAAACCGCATCATCTACACGTCGGTGTTGTTTGGTGCAGCCTATGTTACGGTAATTCAATTGAAATATAAAAACTCAATAATATTCCAGCTATATGATGGCGGTAGGTAAAAAAATCGAGTCTGGACCAGATAATGGAGTGATCATAATCATCGATCGACGCAACTGGGATACGATGCATCAAGCAAGGCAGCGAGCCTGATCACCCGATCCCGTTAGTCGCCTCTTACGACATGCATAGTCGCCAAGCATAGTCGCCTCTTACGACAAGCATGGGTTGCTGGAGACCAATTCTAACCCGAATCTTCATGGGTAAACTTTATATAGAGTGTAACTCTATCTGAACGACCCAACAGTAAAGTGGCATTTTCCCTTTCACAACAACTGTTTAAAACGACACACTTCTCACATCCAGTATGTATTATACATGTAGAATACTGAACGAGATCCCATTAGATGCCATTTGTGTAGCAACGAGTGTATTTCAAAACGTATCTGGCGAGCAAAAGCAAGTTAATTACGTTTTAAAATACAAACAGTGTAATAAAAACCGTATCTAACAGGGAAAAGTTACTAAATTTTGTATTACTTACTTAAACTTTGCATATTTTCGATATTCAACGTTTGAAAAAGACGTATGTTGTTCGTGTAAGGGTGGCGTAAGAATACAACATTCGTCGCATACAATGACTCCACCACAGAATGTTCACTCAATGCGCAAACTGGCAATAATGTGTGCCGGTTTCTCCATGATCGATTGTAAGAAATGATAAGATGGCCATTCTAAAATCATGTTCATAATTTCATTTTATACACCAACATAACCAAGTTGGATACACCTGCCTTAACGGAAAATCTAGCTTTAAACTCTCGTTAACTTAGGAACGGTGAGACGGCGAGACGATCGACTCATCGAGTTATGACATGTTGGCTATGTCAGTTCATACGAGTCACCAGGTGGTCTATCTGCCATGTTTATAATAACCCTTGTCATCTGTTCAATTTGGGAACACGGAACGTTTCACGACACGATATTGCATCGGATGTCATGAGTGAGTGAGTTGGGTTTAACGCCGCTTTTAACAGTATTCCAGTTATATCATGGCGTGTCAGCTTAATGTGGGAGGAAACCCGAAGTGATGCAGGTCTCAGAGGTTTACCACGTCGGTGAAACCCACGAGCACGGGTATGCTGCTGACAAACCTAGAAACATAATCGGGGCGAACCGGGATTCGAACCCAAAATCATAGGTTTCTGGCGTGCCCAATGGACGCAACTCTGCACAGCGAATCGCGGCGCCTTAGACGACTGGGCCACCCGTGCCCCCTCAGATGTCATGAAGACGATAATTCTAACGACAGAGTACTTGATCCAAGGGTCACCACTCTCATTTACCACACGAAGTTCTAGGTCGTAATTAAACTCTGCGGTAATGTGATGATGCTCTTTCGACATAATACTTGTTTAGGAGAGATGATCTGAACCTTTATGATGCCACGATGCCACGTTTGCAGTTATACAAGGTCTTTAGTCTACTACTTCAAACGTACATTTCGATAATAGAGTTTTGAAATGCATGCGTACTGTGTCAATGCAGCACTGGCCTTTTGTGAAAAATAGTAGTGTCTATCGAGTGTAACCTGTGAAGATCCGGGTAGAGAATAGGTCTTCAGCAACCCATGCTTGCCGTAAAAGGCGACTTTGCTTGTCGTAAGAGGCGACTTATGGGATTGGGTGGTCAGGCTCGCTGACTTGGTTGATGCGTGTTATCGATTCCAATTGTGTGGATCGATGCTCATGATACTAATCACTGGATTGTCTGGTCCAGACTCCATTATATACAGACCGCCGTCATATAGCTGGAATATTGCTGAGTGGGGCGTTAAACAACAAACCAACCAAAAGTTGCAGAGTACAGCTGTACAATGTTCCCCCCCCCCCCCCCCCCCACATTCGAATGCAGATGCCCAAAATAGTCCCTTCCGCATGTATTGTTATTGCACAATGTGTTATTATAGAGGTGTATTGTTATTAAACGGGTGATCTCTTCACGGGTGAGTGATGCTATATAATAATGAATGTCAAATGATTTAAACTCCCTACAGATGACATCATCCGTGATCGGAGTTACCCTACCTGACATCATGTGTTTGCTGGGCGTCGACCTGAAGACGTGTAGCTCTCTTCTGTTTGCCTATGGTTTAGGGCTGTGTTGTAGTAGCCTGACCGGACACTTCTTGAAGGGAAAGGTAGACGACCCTCTGTTCTTGGCGGCAGTATTGGTATCAAACGCTGTGATTATTGCTGCTGTACCCACGTCGCTGTTCTTGTGGCTGACCTTAACCTTGATGCTCCTTAGTGGCTGGTGTACAGGAACATGTTCATTTGGTAAGCAGTCATCTTAAATATGTCACCTTTCTCTTTGGCCTCATATGAGTCCAAATACCAGATGATAATTGCTATGTCAGCACCATAATCCTTTTTGGGGTCTTCCTCATTATCCGGACGACATTCACTCACTTCCGGGGTAGATTAGGTATTCAGCAACCAATACTTGCCGTAAAAGGCGACTATGCTTGTCGTAAAAGGCGACTAACGGGATCGGGTGGTCAGGCTCGCTGACGTGGTTGATACATGTCATCGATCTCAATTGCGTGGATCGATGCTCATGATGTCAAACACTGGATCGTCTGGTCCAGACTCGATTATTTTACAGACCGCCCTCATATAGCTGGAATATTGCTGTGTGCGGCGTTAAACAACAAACAAACAAAACATTATTCGGACGCGGCGTTATGGAACTGAATTAATGTTCAAGCCGCTAACAACACAAGTGCCTTTCATAATGATCACCTCACACAACCTTGGTGATATTACAGCACTATAGCAAACATAAAGATCACCTTATATCACCTGGGAGATATCACATTTCAAGCATAGAATTCACTCCATACATGCCACCTGGAAGGTATAACACAACGCTTATCGCACACCACGTGGGAAATTTTACACCCCCAGACGAACATAAACATCCCCAACACCGATGGGCCCCTTACTGGAAATAAAAGCGACAAATCACAATCGATATCATAAGAGCTCTCTGCTCAAAGCGGGGTCCACTGTATGATTCCGACTAGATAATAAGCATGTGTTAGCATAATAAGCATCACCATTAAAATTTAATCGTGAGGACATCCATTTGTGCGCGAAAAGGTGGGCGTATCCTGCACCACTCGAGTGAGTGAGTATGGTTTTACGCCGCTTTTAGCAATATTCCATCAATATCACGGCGGGGGACCCCAGAAATTGGCTTCAAACATTGTACCCATTTTGGGAATCGAACCCGGGTCTTCGGCGGGACGAGCGAACGCTTTAACCACTTGGTTAACCGACCGCCCCCAATTATCAAGTGTCAATTGATTACCAGGAAAAAAATGAGAACATTGATACAAGTCAATACTATACTAGGGAAAGGTGACTTTACATTTGTTGGCAATGATGGGGCAAGTGTTATCGATTACATTATTAGCACTAGAGATATATTTGACTTGTGTGAAAATTTTGATATTGATAGACGCCACGAATCAAAGCACCTGCCTGTCACAATGTCTTTACGGGCGCTTCATTCGTGTGGAAAACCATCTTTTGATAACGCCCACCATAGTCATTCAATGTTTAAGTGGGATAACAGCATTGCAGACATTTTCCAAGAACGTCGTTTATCAGACACTTTCGCATGCCTCTTAAATAAAGCTATTGATTCTGTTTTTACAAATATTGATGAAAGTGTATCGCAGGGAATGTAATGAAAAGGGAAGTAACCCCCAACAGAGAAAGTAAACAGTGGTTTGACTGGGAATGTGAGTTGTTGAAGAAGGAAAGACGCACACTTTTAAACCATTTTAGGAAATTAAAGGATAAAGATTTCTGCAGTACACTGATTCGAAAAATAAATATAAAGCTACTTGCAGAAAAAAAAAACGTTTCATGGATAGAAACAGAAAAAAACTAAAAGAAAGTATCAGTTCATCAAAACAGTTTTGGAGGATCTTGAAACACATTGGCAAAAAATTACCATTTAGGAAAATAAAATTAATGTAAAATAGAAATTCATGAATGATTTAATTATTTCAAAAATCTCATTAGCGCCAATGATTCAACACATAACTTGCAATTGAACTCTTTTGATAATGATGAAACCAATTTTGCAACTGAAAAATTAGATTCCCCATTCTCAAAAGAAGAAATTAAATCTGCTATTCAAAATCTGAAAAACTTAAAAAGCCCTGGAATTGATGGACTAATAACGGCATTCTTTAAATACTCTCTCGTTATCATCCTGTCGTATTTGGAGGTGTTATTTAATACAATGATGGGTATCTCTTACTTTCAAACAGATTGGACAGTTGATACTATCGTTCAAAGAAAGGCTTCGTGACAGATGCTGAAAATAATAGGGGGATTACACCTACCAGTATATTCAGTAAGATATGTACTAGCATGATTAATAAAGCTTGGTGTTGTGGTCGGCTACACTTGATAAGATCGAGGAAGATCAAGGATGCTCTACCACTGATAATATGTTTATCCTCCAGGCTCGTATAGATAGGTATATTCAACATAAACGTGGAAAATTGTACGCTATATTTGCGAAAATTATATCACAGACAAAGTTCCTTAAATGTTGTTTTTACTTGTATGTTGTAAAAATGATAATTTAAGGAAAAATATATTGAACCAAAATATTATGTACATCCAAATAAATACAAGTTTATCACATGTGAGCAAAACGACTATACGAAATCTATCTCATTTTATATATCATGCCTTGTTATTAAGAAATGAATCCTTCTAACATTTTAAACCGCTTCCACATAGTCATGTATTCTGTACTATGGGCCTGTGGCCTGACAGTTACATATGAATAAACTGAATTGAATACTAGTCAACATAGGGAATTGGATCGGACACCTGTTTTGTCACTGCTGTGTCAAAGTTTCGAAATGCCATCTGCATGTCTACTCTAAAATGTCTTGAATGATGTAACCCTGATCAAGCAAGAAACTTTTGAAAAAGTGTTGTATGACGCTCATTGAAATCGTCAAGCGATAAATATAAACAAACGTACCCAAGGATATTTGAAATCTATATTGAAATCTACGAGGCCGTTGTTGGAAGCGGAAGAATACAGGCTGGTCAAGTAACAAATGTGGCGCTTTGCGAAAGAAACAGTCTCGATTGACGAGTTAAATTAGAAATTTACAGATATCGAAACATTATTTTGCCATGTCAATGTGGGACTAAGGTAAAAATGAAGTCAACATTTTGTGTAAGGGCTGGACAGGGAGAGATAAAGGGGAGATAATTTGTGGGGAGGTAACTCTTGTAAGAAAATAGTTCCGTCAAAGTTTTATGGCAGTGAAATTTCACTTTTCTCAACTTTCATACTAAAGATTTCTCTGAGACGACCTAGGACAAAATACTGCTTTAACAAACACACACAACCTTAGCTGTACTGCTGCATCAAACCGCACGTAAGGATCACCTCAACCTTCTTAGGGATAAAGCTAGAACGCACGCACGCACGCGCCCGTCAGATACAGCAAACCTGAAGAACACTTCAGAACGCAACACGCGGAGATAAACTGACATTATATTAACGTAATTCAAAACATCCAAGCCAGAGAATAATCAGTCTCAGTTATCTTCTGAAACCGATTCCATTTTTGCGTTAAAAGCAAATAGTGATGAAAAATGTTATGAATGGATCACTGAGAATCATTGATGATACCAGTTTATCGCGAAGGCTCACATCAGCCAGCCTTTGATATACAGCATACATGAGATACAACCTATATCATACTGCAACATTATATAATACCTAAGGTTCTACTGATACATCTATATTATACTGCAGCATTGTAGCATGCATGGCGTTGTACTGATAAAACCTTTATGATGTTGTTGCGTTATAGCATACATATTGTTCTACTGGTATAACCTCTAGTACATGGCTATCTGAAATCTGAATATGGGATATAAGAAATCTGAACCTTTCAGTTTGTCCCATTGTCATCAAGAGTACTGGCGTCCATCCTAGTCAATACCTCGAGCAAATCGAGCAAGTCCTTTTGTGGTAACATGTTTGATGACACCAACATACAGCTTTCGCGAGATAACGCCGGTCCCAACATTGCAAGACACACACGATATTTCCTACAAGATCAGGTCTATTCCATGATCAGCACACATTCCCGATTTAATACCAAAGTGGGTGAGTGAGCGAATGAGATTTGTTTAACGCCGCTTTGAATAGTGTTCAATTGCATCACGGCGTGTCAGCCCAGAAACGTGAATTGATGCAGATCTTAGACGTTTTACCTCTTAGGTGAAAGACAAGTATGGAGACAAGAGTAGGGTGTGGTGCTGACAAACCTACAAACATAATCAGGGCGAATAGGGGAATGTTACTCACGACCATATGTCTCTTGCATGCCTTCGGGACGCAACTCAGCACTACGAATTATGCCACCTTTGACAACTGGGCTACCCGTGGTCCTCCGAGTTAGCTGTAACGACGCCTGAACCAAGTATTGTCCAAACCAAGAACAATCACCTACAACCATTCTAATAACACAGGCCGTTTTGCTCAGGTCGCTATCAATTGTCAGGTTCACTTAACGAATCGAGGTTCCTTCTCCACATCACAGATAACGGGACTCTTTTTCAGAGACGTTCCAATGCGATCTTCCAGTAACATAATATCCCATAATAAATAACATATACCAGTGTAGTGCCGACTCAGTATTGGTCGATCCATGTGCCTGTATTTTTCACCCATGGATAGCCGTGTTACTATATATTTAACAGAGACCAACATACCATATCTTCCCTTTTACCATATTTCAGAATCCATTTAACCCTTCCGTGATGCTGCATGTACTGGAATCACATTAATTGATACACTTTTATTATTTCTTTCAGTGGGAACTTTACAGTGTTATGTCATGTGGCCAAACAACGCTTTTGGTGTGTTCTTCATGAAATCAGGAGCGTCCCTAAGTGCGATAATTATGCCCCTTGTGTCTAATCTCTTCCAAAACAATCACAAGGGCATTGATACAGATGAATCGTTCCACAATACGACACGAACACATCCTAACCCAGAGCAGCGGTGCAACGGATTCAATACCAACATAAATTACCTATACATACTAATGTCCGGGTTAGGCCTTCTTGTGGCCATAGCCTTGATGTGTTGCTACAACGCTTTCCTTAAGGACGGTGACGTGATGGAACTACCCCTATCAAGGAATCGGAAACCTGCAGAACATAGAAGCCTGAGTAAACTGTTTACATCTTTAATGGTGTGTTTTGCCTTTACCAGCTCTACTTGTATTGCATCCTTTTGGGAGCTATTTGTGACCTATGGAATTCGCACGCCGCTAAACCTGAGTCTCAGGGACATGTCCGGAATGTTATCAGCGTTTTCGTGTGGCATCTTCCTCAGCAGATTCGCCAGTGTCTTTCTCTCAGCTAGGATCAGACTTGACGCATTGATGTTAGTATATGTGGTACTCACCAGCGTATCATCTGTTCTGTTCCTGGTATTTAAGGACACCAGTATCATGATGATGTGGACAAACTGTATCCTGTATGCTATCGGACTAGGGCCGATATATCCTGGGATTCTGGCATGGCTTAAGGAATATTCGGATGGATCACCCCGAGTTTTGAATGCAGTTTTGCTTTTCTACCATGCTGGTTTTTTCATCAGTCCAACTATTTGCGGCATGATTATGGATATGTCTGGAGCTGATGCCTTTATATACATAGTTTCTGGTGTAGGTTTATTTCAGTGCGTGTTGTTTCTTTGTTTGTCTTACAATAATTGGAAGAGGACACATGTCATAACTACTAGCGCCACCAAAGGCCTGTCAGATTGAATTCCTTTACAGATGTTAGCAAAATATCATGAACAAGACAGGCACCATTCTTTTGTGTAATTGTTCATCATAACAAATGGCTACTTTATCTCTTGAATTGAAATCGTCTTAACCAAGGAACGTTTTGATTGAAGTACTCATAAGAGTGGACTTGACTTACAAAGTGCAACAGAGGCAATTGATGGACCTGTCAATATATTAAGGTGGATAGTTCAGTAACATTTAGAGACAATGTGATTTTACACATTCGTTAGTATTTCGTTCTTCTCCCAGAAATGTCATAAAGGTAATTACCTGCATGGCGTGCAAAGGACAATATATTGTTTGACCAACCGGGATCGAATGCACACGCATAAAAATGAACACCAAGAACTACACTTCATATCTATACGTGCACATCTCGACACATGAGCGGAAAACGGAAATCATTTTTTCTTTTTATTCAGAAGATAAATACTATGTGTGTGTCTATTTCCGGGATTTTATCGAGTATTTGCATCTTGGAAATTCATCTCGAGACCCGAAAGCGATAGTATTTATCGATATTGTAAACCTATTGTTTTATTTAGAAAAAAAACATGCGCACTCTTTAACACCTCGTACTTACTCGGTTGTGAGGCGTCAACATCGAACGTTCTGTCGCTGCTATGGTGATTGTGATTTTGGTAATAACGTACACCGGTAATGAGACGCAAATACCATCACGTATATTTCAGCTGCGATACCTACATCCTTGAATTCCTCATACATTTTAGAATCAAATGCCAAATGGTCTTTGTCACCAATACAAATTGTCTAGATGTAATGAAGCAAAATAAATGAGGTGTGAAAACGAACGCTGAAAAAACTGCACTTGTTTGGAAATGTAAACAAAGCCATTCGTCTATTCGTTGAGTACATTGGCTCGAGATCTGCATTTTCAGAATATACACGGGAAGAGAACCGTAGAAAGAATTAGGGAATTAAACATATATACATTGCAATAATTTGATATTTTCAACAGAACTTGTCGAAGTTCCCGTCCTATGTGACGCTATGACTGACGCAAAATCACGCACAACGACAACGGTATTTATCAGAATTTCTGACTATTTTCGTTGGTTTCAATGAAAAATACAACAACAAAAAACAGTACACAGATTGTCAGAATGTTTCTGATTACTTACATGTCACATTTATGTATATACGAACCCTGAATCAACGAAAGTCCCCTCGTAAAATCCCGCGCACTGTTGACAGTCAACACGCCATTTTGTAAAATTCGGTCACCGGTAGGCTAGTGATGTCAAACTTCAACATATTTGTTGTACATATTTGGTAATTTCTCTGAGGTGAAGGTCCTTGAATGAAAGTACACACGATCATTGTTAATTGCTTTTTACTGGTTCATGATGTAGATCTTGCATATCTTTTGTACATTTTTTTCACACAATTAATTTCACTTTGGATATTAATCAATGTTCAATATGATATCATACGTAGATATAGGCCACAACATATATGAACGTTTTATAATCTCCTGTTTGTTTGAACAATGTTCACATATGAAGTTGATAAGTTTATATAGTGTCGTAAACGATATTTCTTTAATTTGAACAAGTGTACATGTGACAGGTACATTTACATTTCATCTTGTATGTATTTCTAGGGAGTGTAATAGTCAATATTATAAGTTCATATAAATAGTGTCCATGAATAGCCGTTTCATTTTATTTTATAACTAAAACTGACGATATAACTTAACCAAAATCGATATTATTTTTCGTTAAATTAAATGCACACATTTCTTGAAGAATTGGCTTGGTCTTGGATTTTTTTTATGCCGTTTGATATACAGAACAGTGATATCTCAGGATTCGCCAGGAGCGCGTTTGTCGCTATGGTGATTGTGATTTTGGTAATTATTTCATTGTAATTTCTTTTAATTAAAAATTTAAAATCCCAATTATTCCCATGAATAGAGAAAATCAAAATATTTGTTATGAATTTTGTATTTCAATTTGCGTCCATTGTTAATAAGTATGCAAAAAATGCTGAGTAATTATGTATTCCTACACAGTGATTCGGTCGCTTGCTTCAGGGAATTCAAATCATATTTTCACCCTCTGACATTTGGTCATGTGACCCAAATTAGCCAATCACAACACAGAACACACTTTCTATAGGTTTACAATAAAGGTTCACGTCGGACAAACGGTACAAAACAATATCTTGTCAATACGTTCAATCCAGCATTAAATATAGCATGGGTTTGAATAGGTCTTCAGCAACCCATGCTTGCCGTAAAACCGATTATGCTGGTCGTAAAAGGCGACTAACGGGATCGGGTGATCAGGCTCGCTGACTTGGTTGATGCATGTCATCGTATCCCAATTGCGTGGATCGATGCTCAGATGTCAATCACTGGATTTTCTGGTCCTGACTCGATGATTTACAGACCGCCGTCACGCTGGAATATTGCTAAGTGCGGCGTTAAAGAACCAACAACCAACCAACCTTTTCAAAACGTGGAAGTTATGTTTGCCATTTGACTGTTGAGTGGGACTGAATATTGACAATAACTTAGACATAAGGGAGGCAAGCCTACTTTCAGAAGTGTGGGATCTGGAGATGTGCCGTCTCATTGTATCCCAATTACGTCGATTGATGATCATGACAGCAATCACTGGATTGTCTGGTCCACACTCGATTATTTAAAGACCGTCGTCATGTAGATGGAATAATGCTGAGAGCGGCGTTATACAGCAAACAAACAGACATCAAAAGCGCGGTTTTGTTGCGACATAAAATGTGATGACGTAAAAATCAATGAAACCGTCCCCAGAGGCCAACATCATTGTAACATTATTCTAAATAATGATACGAATGAAACATATTGGAGAACGCATTCGTTGTTATGTCTTGTTTTATACATGTGACCCACCATGAGATAAGTGTCCTTATGGGTGAAAAATATCACATTTTTACTTCTCATTATAATTTAAAACTACAGTATCTTAGTGACACAAAAATACAAGCAAGCTACAATTCATATTCTTCATATTCTTGTTCTGATTTGTCAGGGGGCACGTTATTCGCTGTACCAGTACGAACTATTGACGATTTTTTAGTATGAATACCCCACTCAGACACAGTATACTGACTCCGCCGACGGGTCCTTGTATTAGCCCATAAATGCCGGGCGCCAGGCAGGTTGACAACAAGTACCATCTTTTAACGGCTTTTGGTATGATACGGCCGGGGATCAGACAACAGACCTTCCGCTCTCCGGGCAGACGCTAACAAGCCTACGGAGCCGGTTTCAACTTTGTGTACGTGATATGAGAGAACATTTGTTATCAAACTATCAAAAGCTCATCAGTAGCTATCCTTGTTATTCACACATTCCGGTTATATTTAAAGTTTAATACAGGCACTAATTATTTACATCAGCATCAACCACGTGGACAAGGAAGAAGAGCAGTTCGGACTAATTGAATGTATGTATAATTTTGTATTTTGAAATTATTCGTTTATTTATTGATACTTGTAATATTTCATTGAACGTTCTTGAAGATTACTGTATTGAATTACAATGTAGTATATCATATAATTTCGTTTCGTGCCATACGTTAGCATAGTTCTGTTTACCTCACTAAACAATATCAAAGTCATTTCATAGTCTAGATTGTGCTTACATCATCAATTCCACAGCTTACACTGATCACTGGTTTCCTTTTTTTTATGAAAACACAATGTGTCCTGTAAAGGAAACGTTGATAACTGAGAATCATTTGAGGAACTTGTTATGATTGACTGGTAATTGTAACACACAATCCCACGGTTTGAGGAACTTGTCATGATTGAAGGGTAAAAACAGTTTGAACAACTTGTTCTAAGTCACTGATGTAATTATAATGCATAAATTCATAGTTTGAACGACTTGTTATGATAAAATAATAATTATAACACACAATCTCACAGTTTGAGGAACTTGCTATGATTGAAGGGTAATTAAAACACACAATCTCACAGTTTGAGGAACTTGTTATGATTGAATGGTAATTATAATACCATCTTAAAGTTTGAGCAACTTGTTATGATTTAATGGTAATTATAAAACGAAATTTCACAGTTTGAACAACCTGTTACGAATAACTGGTAATTATAACACGATCTCACAGTTTGAACAACCTGTTATGATTGACTGTGGTAATCAAAATACACAATTTCGTAGTTTGAACTTGTTATGATTGACTAGTAATTATAACACGATCTCACAGTTTGAACAACCTGTTATGATTGACTGTGGTAATTAAAAATACACAATTTCGTAGTTTGAACTTGTTATGATTGACTGATAATTTTAACACATAATCTCACAGTTTGAACAACGTATGATTGACTATGGTTATAATAATACACAATATCATATCCACGTCCACGTACCATGCACGCCGTGCAAGTGGCATCAGAGTCGCAAATGAGGATTGGCTGGATAATTCCTGCAATGTGGCTGAGAGTGTGTTATCTTCCTCCGATGGCGTGATTCGTTGCTCATGCTACCAACCACTAGTTAACACTTCACAGACTAACATACCTGTGGCCTGAATGATTAAACTTCCTTGAGAACAACAGGCCCCAGTAATACATGACGTAACACACAGAGGCTACATTTGATCACAATAGTGGTTTTATTGACTTAGTTTGTACATCGCACACAATACTGTCCTCCAAGAACTTCACACGGTACGCATCTGAAAGAGACAAAGCTTTATGAAACAGGGAGTAACATAACATATAGTACACATTGTTGACATTGTATATATCTTTACGTTACTGCATGCGCAAAATGACACCTCATGATCCGAAGTGACTCTACTAGGCTACTAAACTGCAATGACACTGACTAAGAACAGTGAACATCATACATGACATATTTATGAATAGCATACACCATATATTTATATTCATCAATAAAAACAAAATATTTTCCGAACGTGAGTGTAGGTACCTGAGTTTGTGACTTCCATTTTGTCATTGAGTGAGTGAGTTGGGTTTTTAACGCCGCTTTTAATAGTATTACAGTTATATCGCGCCGTGTCAGCTTTATGTGGGAGGAAAGCCTGAAGTGATGCAGGTCTCAGACGTTTACCACTTCGGTGAAACCCACGAGCACGGGTATGGTGCTGACAATCCTGGAAACATAATCGGGGCGAACCGGGATTCGAACCCAAAATCATAGGTTTCTGGCGTGCCCAAGAGACGCATATCTGCACAGCGAATCGCGGTGCCTTAGACGACTTGGCCACCCGTGCCCCCATTTTGTCATTGAGTTACATATGTTTTCCATGATAGTGGACACGTGACTGTCGTTATAAACAAATAGAAGTAGTAATGAGCCAATGAAAAAGCGACTGACCATGCTTGAGAACTTGCACCACACAAGCCGGATACCACAACCCATCTTCCCATTGGGCTTCCACTATGTCGTTCACCTTGAGCTTCTGCTAGGGAGAATTAATAGAATTAATAATGTTGATTGCACTTGGCATATAAGGAAGTCAGTTTAACAAACCGTCGTGACAAACCTAATCCAGATTCCTTGTGATTAATGCGTTCATGCGAATGACGAGTTTGGAATATAACACCATATTTTCAGAAAGTTGAGTGAGTAAAGTGAGTTGGGTTCAACGCCGCTTTTAACATTAGTCCAGTTATATCACGGCGTGTCAGCTTAATGTAGGAGGAAAGCCCGAAGTGATGCAGGTCTCAGACGTTTACCACTTCGGTGAAACCCACGAGCACGGGTATGGTGCTGGCAAACCTAGAAAAATAATCGGGGCGAACTGGAATTCGAACCCACAATCATAGGTTTCTGGCGTGCCCAAGAGACGCATATCTGCACAGCGAATCGCGGCGCCTTAAATGACTGGGCCACCCGTGCCCCCTTTTCAGAAAGGGCACTTGGAGTTTATCCGTATGTCATGCTATACTTGTGCTATATAGTCTCATCTCTGCAGACAGCCGATATATCAATGATTTAAATGGCAATGTGGACGTTGGGTAATAACCAGCAGTGGTACAGATCACAACCTCTTCCTATACACTGATGCGACGGATTGGTGCAGATACTTGCCACTTTATCAAACAATTCAATAACCTACGCGTCCGTTATTTATAGCTCGCTTTGAATGAACAATATATGTGATTTGAATGATATTGATATTATGAGGCATTACTATCTATTATGTAAGTTTATTTTCGGATTCATGAGACATGTAAACCACTGGCACTGTGATTATCACTTAAGGCAAAAAAGGGGTACATAAGAATATTTGTTTGTTTGTTTATTTGTTGTTTAACGCCGCACTCAATATTCCAGCTATATGACGGCGGTCTGTAAATAATCGATTCTGGACCAGACAATCCAGTAATTGACACCGTGAGCATTGATCCACGCAATTGGGATACGATGACATTCATCAACCAAGTCAGGGAGCCTGACCACCTGATCCCGTTAGTAGCCTCTTACGACAAGCATAGTCGCCTTTTACGGCAAGCATGCGTTGCTGAAGACCTAATCTACCCCGGATCTTCACAGGTCACATAAGAATAAGGTTGAAATGGGTGGCTGGCGGTGTATAAAGCAATACGACTGAAGGAGTCTGTAACTTACATGCCTTGTATGACTTCTGGAGGGGAGAGTTGTTTCCATTTGTTTCACCTTCTCACGTAGCTCAGTCTCCGCCTACAAAACACATACATGGTCAGGGTCAGGACAGGCGCCTTGTACTGATACGTTTCACACTCTTTCACCTTCGGTGGTTTGAAAGCGAGACATGGAGAGCTTTGGGTAAACATTGGAGTGAGTATGGTTTTACGCCGCTTTTAGCAATGTTCCAGCAATATCACGGCGGGGGACACCAGAAATGGCTTCACACATTGTACCCATGTCGGGAATCGAACCCGGGTCTTCGGCGTGACGAGCTAACGCTTTAACCACTAGGCTACCCCACCGCCCCTGTGCCCATTGGATAGTACATGGCGTGGTAACATTGTAACAATTCAACCACGAGAGACAACTATACAAGGCAATATGTTCCTTTATTTGTGTTTAATTGCGAAACCTAAACAGTATAATGTACCATATTGATTGCCTCAATACCTGCTTACTAAAAGTGTGGAATGTTTGTGTGACAATGATGTGATGAATTTTGTGAGAAATACAGATAATATTAGTTCCTACATTTCACTGATTTGTCATTACTTTCGGGTGGAATCTTACATGCAACACATTTCAAGAAAACTGAAACATTTAGAAAACTGAGGGAAAATAATGACAATTGACAAAATATATTGTTTTCATAACATGAATTTGTTTTACCTTATTTTTAAATGGATTCAGGTAAAATAGGAAATAATATCTAACCCCAATTTTAATTATTTGAGTCCTCTAATTGAACCCACTCGCACAGCATAGTCATTTTCCTATCCTCACATTTGTTGGTTAATATGTTCTCGAGATAAGAAATATGGAAAAATATGGCAAAACATTTAACCTTTATTTGTCATAGAGAGTTGTTTCTTAATCCACATTTGTAAACTTAAAAAACACCTAAATGTTTTCTTTTAGATTAGTATATATGATAAACGACATGAACAAGATGATGGTATTCTAACCTTATTCTTGATGATTAATATTATTATTACAATAAGATAGTGTCTTTCAACAATACCAAACGTAGGTTATCTCCCCTTAACTTTAATTCAAGAAACTGGGGTACTGGATCTGTGGATCATCAACATGAAAACTTATAATAACAATAATTTGATATTTTTATTTGGCAATGAGTAATGGTAGATCATATATTTTCCTGCATGAAATTCAATATTAAGTCCAGTCACAATTACAGGCAGTAAATAGATTTTGAACCAAAGTTCAAAGTTCTATATAATCAGGTACTTGCCAAATATACTTTAGCATATTCCAAGATCACTTGGTGATGATGCATCGAATAATTTGTCCCAGAGGATCACAAAATCTTTCTACAGGTCCATACCACAGCCTTGATTGGTCCTTTGGCTATGTTTTGTGACATATCGAAATTAAATAAATAATTAATCACATATCTTAACCTTTTAAATAGGGATGAATATTTACTGATATATTTGGCTTTTATTCAGTCACATGCCATTGATATCTTTATTATTTTTTAATCTTTGATTTATTATTGTCTTAAGTAGCTTGGTTTGCGTCTATGTTTTATCTATATATGTTCATTCCGTTCGGGATATAATTGTATTTAAGATCTTCCGTTTGGCTATTTATCATGTATAATCATATAATCTGGTCAGCGTGTTTCAGACGTGTTATTACTGCATTTGGTGTCCATTCTAAATAAAGTGTAAAAGAACTTTCCATAATCACAAGAAAGCCCGGTTGTAAGCGACTATATCTCAAGCGCATGCACAGATAAATAATTTTCGGTTAATTAAGTAATATAGTTGAAGTAGAAATACAAGGTTTCATCTGCCATCATATAAACTGAAAAGACTTATCTCCCCTTCTGGGCAGATTTTCGTATTCATTCTCAAACTACCATTTTTGATGAAATAGACATGACAGTTCAACCTACTCAGAGAACTAGAATGATCTATTGAAATGTTACACGTTAAATTAATGATTTACGATACACTTGTACATTAGGTCCATCGTTTAATATATATTTCGGACAGTAAAGATCAATCACGTACAGTTGTCAATTGTCAATCATAGTATTGTGAAGCAACCATAAGCATGTCAATGTCTACGATGCACATTAAGCATGAAACATTGTGTACACGACTCATTTAACTGCAAGTACATATAAGTAATAATTCATTACCTTTCTACACAGTGAGAGACATGCTTTCGCTTTGAGTAATTCGTCGCTGGTATCTCTCTCCTTCTTCTCCAGCTGCATTATAAAAGGAAAATATGTTGTGTTTCTGAGAGAGCAAAATTATAGGAAAAGCACATAAAATCACAATTTGGGTCTGTCGTCATTCTTACCGCGTGGCGGCAAATGTTTATGCAATAGCACCAATACTGGATAACGGTTAATGGTCATGTCAGCTGAATGTAGGTTTTCTCGCTGTTTATCTACACATATTTCGTTTGACAGAATTTGATTGTATGCAACCCAAGTATCAAGGACATTTAACTCGACTTTTCGAGTATATAGATGAAACATTAAATCATATTTTCTGTTATGAAAATTACCTTTGTTATTTTTGTTTTCAGATGCGCTATTTCCTCTTGATGGTTCGCTTCTTTTTGTTCCAGCTGAAATGATTTTGGACAACGTACATGTTATAATCAGAAGCATTCTCACTTATGACACACACAAAACGATTACCAGTGAGTGAGTGGTTTGGGGCGGGTCAGTTATGTCACGGCGATCGATTTTAACGCGAGATGAAAGCAGAAATCGCTGACGTCACGAGTAAATTAAAAGCCACGAGTGGTGAGGCCCATTCGTCATCACTCGCCCCTTTCCGTAACCCGCTATTCGGCTTGTCCCGGAATAACACGAGTTGGTCACGAATGTGGTGAGGCCAAGGAAAGGGGTGATTCTGGCTGATTATAAGGGACACAACTCTGCACAGCGTAATGCAGCAAATGAGCCAAGGAGGGATGGGTTGGATTTAAAAACTGCAATATTATGCAATATGTATCTACATTTCGCAAGTATTTAAGTACTCACAATAGCATTTTCACCCCTCGGTTTCAAACCTCAGGAGATATATGAATAAGTATCAGATCAAGAGACATATGCAATATTTGCAAGTACTCACAATAGCATTGTCAGCCCTCAGATTCAAAACTTCGTCTTCCTGCTCAGTTAGTCGTGCCTGGAGCTAAAATGAGCATCATTGAGAATACTATATCTTTTACAGATGCCCCTTACTTTGATGGATACGACAACGTTAATTTGACTTGATGACTTGAGAAACGATATGGAACTTGTCTTGAACACGATTGTCATAGATATTGTGCAGATAGTTAATTTATCTCTTAAAGATGCTAACCTATGTCTTTGAATCTGTATTGAGGCATTCCTTCCTCAAGTGGTTAACATGTGTGAGTGAGTATGGTCTTACGCCGCTTTTAGCAATATTCCAGCAAAATCACGGCGGGGGACACCAGAAATCGGCTTCACACATTGTACCCATGTCGGAAATCGAACCGTCTTTGGCGTGAAGAGCGAACGCTTTAACCAATCGGCTTCCCGACCGGCCCTTGTGATGGAATATGTACAATGTAGTACATTCAACGAAACAAGAACTACGCGCACGTCTTCCATACTGCAAGGACTACATTGACGCATCAGCTGCTGCACGTGACATTGTAGGTACACCAGGCAGTTAGAATAAGCAGTTTCTCTTACTTTGTTTGTTGTGTAACGCCGCACTCAGCAATACTCCAGCTATATGACGGCGGTCCGTAAATAATCGAGTCTGAACCAGACAATTCAGTGATTGATGTTTATGAGCAACGGCCAACCCTGTCATAGAACCAAGTCACCAGCCCTGACCCGTTCCATTAAGTCGTCTCTTACGAGCACATGTTGCTGATGCCAATTCTTACCCTGAATCGCCACGGAGATTCCCCAGGTATAACACTCACCTCTTTGTTTGTGTCCTTCTGTTGAGTGAGTTCGTTGGTCAAAGATTGAGTCTACAAAAATTCAATCATATACAATGGTGTGTCAATGTTAACATTCTCATTCAAAATGAACACTCATACACGTCATACGTGCAGTGTATATGTGATTTTCATAATATGCTTATTTCTGTCTAAATTAATAGTATTGACTTTTACAATATTGTGACGGGGAAAGTACGACGGCATTTGGTGTTGTTTCCGAAGTCTCGAAACATATGTCCTGTGCATATACACTGTGTGGTGATTACCGTTGTTACTTTATTTTATCATAGGACAATAAACAGTACATTTAATTCAAAGATTATGTTAACATGTTTTACTTGCATAGTGAGTGAGCTGGGTTTAACGCATGTTTGAACAGTATTCCAGTTAAATCACGGCGTGTCAGCCTAGGACAGCGAGGAAAACCTGGACCGTAAATCTCAGGCTTAACCACCTTGGTGAAACCCACGAGCACGGGTATGGTGCTGACAAACCTATTAACATAATCGGACCGAACCGGACTTCGAAGCTACTTATTTGTATAGATTGATTCGTCAAGCAATACCTGTTGACCGAAGAGTACATCAGGTTCTTTCTTGTCTGTTCGTCGTCTCTTTGAGTGGTGACCGTTCTTGGACATAATTTTCAACTTGTCTTGTCTCTGTCAAATAATGCCAGATTCAGAAATATTTGTTAATCATTAAAGTTGCATGCATACATGTAATGTCAATGGATTCGGAAATTCATGTCTGTGAACCAGAAGACAAGAAGCCGACACTCACGTCTTCGTACAACTTACCTGATGACACATGGCGAAGCGAAGTAGCGTGTTAGGAATTACTGATAGTTTGACTGGGTAATCTTTATCATGAACTAATTCAGCGATCAGATATTTGCTAGAATAGTATACCTGGCTGTTACAATTGAAGGTATCGCTATCTTCTTCACTGTCTTCATTTGACGTTGATCTGGAGCGGATGGACACGCCGTTGTCGCTCTCGGCGTCACTGTAGTCCTTTGATCTCTGTCTCTTCAGATGTCGCCTGAAGAATTCACATAGGCCATTTAATTTTGATTCCGGGTTAGAATGGGTTTTCAGCAACCCCCACTTGTTGTAAAAGGCGACTATGCTTGTCTTAAAAGGCGATTAACGGGATCGGGTGGTCAGGCTCGCTGACTTGGTTGATACATGTCATCGATCCCAACTGCGTGGATCGACGCTCATGGTGTCAATCACTGGATTGTCTGGTCCAGACTCGATTATTTTACATAACGTCGTCATATAGCTGGAATATTGCTGAGTGCGGCGTTAAACAAGAAACAAACATTTAATTTTGTTGATGTTTGGTGGAGGTGTTGATGTTTTGACAACAACCCAGTTTCTTTTAAATGTTGTTATTCCAGTGTGTAATGGAACGCCAGTTGCACTGACATGGAATTAAAACGGAATTAATTGGATATCGTTTAAGCATCAATACTCACCTAAATTTCGCACCAGCCTCTGCACATGTTTTCTGAAAGACTCGAGGTGAGAGAGCCCCTTTCAACATATCCTTGATGCACGTGATCAGCTCCCGATCATCCAGGAAGTGGGCGTTAGCCAGGAAGTAAGCCTTCATTGGTCCCTTCTTCTGACCTTTGACATGACCTTTGTCCCAAGCAGTGAACAACGAGGCCAAGTGTGGCCAGACTGTGTCGTTTACTGACGACACGCGGAGTGCCGCCATGTAGTTGGCAGAGAGGATGCGTTTCTACAAACATAAAACATATATACTACTATACATGAAGGAAAACAGCATCTTTGTTTGCAGTGGATGGTACGGTTTCAACCTTAATACTTATTCAATGGGAGGTAGTAACATCAGCGAAATAGTCACTGAGAAGCTGTGTACTAGGCTCATTAATCATAAAACAACAGCGTTCTGATCATATGGTTCTGCAATAATATGCTAAGTAGTTCCACAACATCAGTAAACATTGCTCTATTTAACTACATCAACTGTACATTTTCATACACTTCACCACACAAGACCAACTCTGCACGACTCTCCGTTCCGCTCCACTGCACTGCACCTGCACTGCACTGCACTGCACTGCACTGCACTGCACTGCACTGCACCACATCACACCACACCACACCACACCACACCACACCACACTGCACTGCGCTACGCTACACTACACTACACTACACTCACCGTCAGCGACATCATATGACAGAGTTTCTCCTTCCACTCATACTCGAGGGTATCTGCAGCTACCCCAGCCTTCTGACAGGCCACCCTCTCTGTCCGGAACAACCGGACATAGTCCAGGAAGGTCATCTGTTTGGCCACCTCGTGGTTCCTGTTGTGGAGATAGGCCAGGGCCTTGGACTCTTCCTCCGTCAGCTGGTGGTACAGCTGGCACGGCCATAGGGCATACCTGCAATGAATTCATTTTTTTTGTATTCAGTTTGGTTTCTCCAACACAACATTTTATTGTCAATTGCCCCTCTTCGACACGCCTTGTCCATCACCAGATCGTAGGCTTTGTTTACTGGCCGCCTTCGCATGGCAGGAGAACTGCTGTGTGGCGTCAGGAAACAAACAATTGTCTTTTTAGGCAAATTGTGTGAGTGATCCGGTAGGGCAGGACATTCTTTCCCTTTTCGCGAACACCTGGCGCCTGTATTGTTTTTCAACGTTCCATTCATATCACTTTTTTTGCCATTTACTCCCAATGGTTATTTATTTATTGTTTAACGCCGCTCTCATCAATATTCCAACGACATGACGGCGGTCTGTAAATAATCGAGTCTGGACCAGACAATCCAGTGATTGACATCATGAGCACCAATCCACGCAATTGGAATACGATGACATGCATCAACCAATTCAGCGAGCCTGACCACCCGATCCCGTTGGTCGCCTCTTACGCCAAGCATAGTCACCAATGGAATTAGTTTCAGTGGATGGTAAAAACTGGTTATTTTCTGGTGTTGAGGTTTAATATTTAAAAATACTGTCGAAATAGGGGTTTGTATTGAAGAGCTAAAATAATTCAAGCACTCATGTCGGGAAGCTCCTTGAGAAAGATGACGAAAACCCGTGACTTCTGTTTGGCTGTGCATCAGCTACCTTGCTAATACAATAGAAGCTATACAATAAATAGTCTCATATAGACTCGAAAACTAACTGCTGCAACTGCATGCATGACAAACCCAAACTTCAATGAAAAGAGATGGTAAAAGGGCGTCATAACAGATACGTTTAAGCTGTATATGATGTGAAGTACCTCTTGTCCTCTGTCTCCACCCATAACTCCATGGCGGCCTGACGGGTGTGGTTCCCACCCAGCACCTCCAGGCGGCAGGACCTAGCTTTCTGAAGATCCTTGATAGGGGGCATGTCAGTTGTGGCCACGTTAGCCACGATGAGCGTGAACTTGGTCACCTGTTTCTCCCTCATTTCTCGCTTAATGTTCTCGACATGGGCGCGGTCGATCGCGCGGATCAGACACTCCGTCTTCGGTTTGACCAGGTTTTCTATGTGGACGGCGGCATACGTGGCTGGAATACAGACGTGATCAGATGAGATCAGATGCAATGGGGAGGGCTAATAAAATAAGACAGTATGTACATCACTGACGGTCTAACTAGTGAAAGGGTGTCGTTGTTTGATAATGAAAGGGGCATAAAGTTTGTTTGTTTGTTTGTTTTTTGTTTAACGCCTCACTCCAGCAACATTCCACCTCTATGACTGCGGTCTGTAGAGAATCGAGTCTGCTTCAGACAATCCAGTGATTGGCATCATGAGCACGCAGTAGGGATACGATGACATGCATCAACCAAGTCAGCGAACCTGACCGCCCTATCCCGTTGGTCGCTTCTTGCGGCAAGCACAGTCGCCTTTTACGGCACGCATGGGTTGCTGAAGACCTATTCTACCCCCGAATCCTCACGGGTCGGCTATAAAGTAATATATATTCTGTTTAACTTACATGTATAACTTCCTTAAGAGGCATTCAGAATTTGGTATGACTAACAAGTGAGATAGTTCTATGATTAAACCCTCTTTATTTCAGTGACTGTGACGTTTCGATGGAGATACAGACACCATTATCAAGCAACTGGTGTACAATAGAAGGCTGCGTGTACCTAGGTAAGAGTGAACACACAGGAAGCAATACCGTAGTCACACACACACACACACACACACACACACACACAATGAGGACACACGCCGCCCCCCCCAACTCACCAGGCTGTCGGACAGAGGGCGTCCTTGGGCCGCCGTCCTCGGATTTCTTCCTCTTTGTCTTTGGTGTCTTGCTACTCGGTGCCTGGAAGTATTTCGGATATACGGATAAATGTACAACAATTTGCTGAACATTACTGAAAAATTCCTGAAAATTTTGCCTGAAGTAAATTTCAAATAATCATGACAGCATGGCAGGTAGTTTTAATATTTTCAGTTACATTATCAGCTAAGGTTGGTTGGTTGGTTTGTTGTTTAACGCCGCACTCGCAATATTCCAGCTATATGACGGTGGTCTGTGAATAATCGAGTCTGGACCAGACAATCCAATGATTAATATCATGAGTATCGATCCACGCAATTGGGATCGATGACATGCATCAACCAAGTCAGCGAGCCTGACCACCCGATCCCATTAGTCGCCTCTTACGACAAGCATTGTCGCCTTTAACGGCAAGCATGATCAGCTAGGGACACAGTATGCATTAGCATACTATACACAAGACAAGACAACAAAACCAGGTGATAAGTGAAACACTAAAAGCTCATACAAACGTCGTAACTACCGCTACCAAGATAACACTTCTCTGTGTATTGAGAGACAAACAAACTCAAAAATTAGAAACAACGCACCTGTTGATCAGGAGAGGGTACGTCCTCATCCATCTCTGGGTTATATTCTGGGTCCTTGGAGGCCATTACCACTTGGAGTTGATTCAACACTACAAAAATATACACAGTGTAAATATCCTCTGAATATCTCATCTCACAATTATTCCACATTTATGCGTTAGAACAAACCAAATATGTACGTTTATAACATTCGTTGTTGGTTGATGGTGGTGGTTGGGTGGTTGCACGACATAATGCGGATGTGTGCAGACAGTGCTGAGTGCAAACTTAGCCCCACCGGAAGCGCATGTAAAATCACGAAAAGGAGGACGTATAATGATCAGGTTAAGCCTCTGGTGTGTGAAACTAGCAACCACTGCGAGTCGTAAATAAAACAACTGACAGTTGACCGTGAGTCAACCTGCTTATAAACAACAACTGTTGCTTAGCAGTGACGCGATAGCACGAGTCCAGCCTTTCCAACTGTAAATAGGTCAATGCAAACATCATGTAGTCCTTTCGTGTGTCGACACGATGGAGGCACAAACACCTGCACTCCCGTTCCATACAACAAAGGGTATTTTTAGAACCAATCTGTAAAAATCAGTGAAAAAGCAATCATAAGAAATATTTATCGGTGTGTTTATGAATCACTCTCAAATAGTGAAGATATCAGGTGTTCGCGAAAAGGAGACCATATCCTCCCCTACAAGTGTCACCCGTCAAAAATACATGCAAAGGCAAGTCAATTGTTCACCTGAACAACGACGCGAACATATGGCATGAGTCAAAATAGGAATTGCTTTGCCCTTAATTCTGGACACTGATAGGTCTCATAGAAACGACACTGATAGGTCAAATATGTCAATGTCCTCTTCATGTCTACCATACAAACAAATTACTGAAGCCATTTCATTCGATTTTTACACACAAAGTGATATCTGCATTTGATAGTTTGATATCACACGTGACACACACATCAACGCAACGAAATACATTTTTAAGTTATTGTATGCAACCTAAAACCACACAACACCTTATCTGCGACAGATTTTTCAAGGTTATTTCTTTTTTAAACGCTATTTAGAAGCAATTTTTCTCATAGAAACGACACATGTTCTCAGCCAATAGTCAGCTGTTTGGCAACTACCAAGATAGAGCACAGGTATACATAGACACGAAATACTAACACCGGCGATATTCATTCAAACTACTTGAGAATGCCTCGGTATGTAGTCTTTGCCTCTACCACTGAACCAGTGACACTTGTTGATGTAGACTCACACAAATATTTCCCTCGTAGGGATTTTTTACATGCTACACAGAAATTCTGCCCACTTAACATTTTTAAGTACACATTACCAAATATTACATAATGAATAAATTCCCAATGACAGCATTGATGTAGAAGCGCATGAAAGTGTCGCTCTTGCTGTGGGAGATGTGACATGAGGGCCTCCAGCCCCAAACATAAACACACAGGACAAAGATGGAGTGAGTATGTCGTCAAGAGGTACACGTGTTTAATTGTTACTTACCTATATGACTAGGTATATATATTATATAGAGACACCCTGGGCAGAAGTTCTGCCTTCGAAATGTCAATGACATTTTCCTGCTGACATATTAACAATAGACAAGTACTTCACGTATCATATGCTACAGACACTCCAATGTGCTTCCTTCTTTCCGTGCGACAGCGTGCTCGTTCTTTAAGCTGACGGAGTCCCACAACCGGTACACACGTTGGGGCGAGCACACGATGATTTAACTCACAAGGAGGAAGGGTAATTAAACCTACAGACATGAAGTCAGATAAGATGCATACCATATCGTTTCCTATTTAACGAGAATAATAAAGTAACTGTCTGGTTAGTGATTACATTATTTTACAATCTTTTCAAAGAAGTTGTCAGACTCATAAGTTGTGTATCATCTGAACATTTCAGACCAATGTTTGAATAATCTGAACAGCTAGACCCTGGTAGGAATAACATGAAGAGACAGACTCTGGTTGGTCTAAATATTCTGTCCAGCTAGACCCTGGGAGAAATAATCTGAACAGCTAGACCCTGGGAGGAATAATCTGAGCAGCTAGACCCTGGTAGGGATAAAAAATGTCAGACTATAGTTGGTCCAAATATTCTGACCAGCTAGACCCTGGGAGGAATAATCTGAACAGCTAGACCCCGGGAGGAATAATCTGAACAGCTAGACCCCAGGAGGAATAATCTGAGCAGCTAGACCCTGGTAGGAATAAAAAATGTCAGACTATGGTTGGTCCAAATATTCTGACCAGCTAGACCCTGGGGGAATAATCTGAACAGCTAGACCCTGGGGGAATAATCTGAACAGCTAGACCCTGGTAGGAATAATACGAAGAGACAGACTATGGTAGGTCTAAACATTCTGACCAGCTAGACCCTTGGAGGAATAATCTGAACAGCTAGACCCTGGTAGGAATAATATGAAGAGACAGACTATGGTCTAAAGTATATGAACGGCAGACCACGGATCTGCCCAAATCAACCTTCCATTGAGACTTCATCTCATATCGTGTACATCAGTTCTCACACACAGAATAATACAATGTCGGCTTATATTTGAAACACTGGAGGCGAGGCATACCACTTTACTATGGGATGCAGCTTCAGATACCTGACAACCAACGAGCAGTAGATGAGGACAAGATTGACATATGGATGGCAACTTTTGTTATTGAATAAAAGGAATGAAATCAAGTTAACCATATCGTCATTGACACCGCAAATTAAAAATGCCACTTTATGAGAAAAAAAGATACATAAGTATAGCAAATCACTTGGAGCTAAAACGAAAACAGCTCACCTAAAAAACTTCAGACGTGCACGTCAGAATGAACGACAGACAATGACCTTGTCATGAATTCCTTCCCGCTTTATGCGGAGTTTTAATTAATACATTAAATGCTTAGTGACCTCGTTACGTCACAAAGTAGCCATTTCCTTACCATGTGTTGGAGAGCGGAAGTCCCCCAGCTGGGCCAGGGCCCGGCACAGCGACGGACGGCGAGGACCATACACGTGACGTAATTGTCCATTGTTTTACTCTCAACTCCGCGCAGTCTAATGAACATCACAACGCGGCCAGGTGTGGACGCGTGCGCTGTTAAATAGCATTCTCGTGCTAATTGGTGTAAGCATTATCTATTAACTTGAGTGTCACCAATAGGGGTACTTAGATTTGGTGTTTGTACAGAGTTATTTATTGACTAAGTTACCTGATCAGGATTTCCTTTAAAATGGATTGGTTTAAGACGGAAATGGACGGTATTTGTACAACACGTAGGATTATACTGCGCTTTTCACTGATGTGATTACGCATTAGGTGTGATTGGTAATCATATGTACACAAATGGTATTTTCCGGTGTCTTTGAATCATAACGCTGAAGTCAATCTCAATCAGGCATAATAAATATCTGAATAATAAACACATACAAGCATTTTCAATATAACATTAAGTGCATTATGTATAAATAACAAATAGATGGATGTCATATGAAGGGTTTGGGTGCCAACATGCAATGATGTAAACTTGTTAAATTGGACATATGCACACCCCTCACCCGCCACACACGCTACAAAACGTCTTTTACCCCCATCTCTTGGAGTCTATATGTAAGACCTACTGTAACCTTATACACAGTTTGGCAAAAGAAAGTATACAATTGAAAATTGAATTTGACAAAAAAACGTTATCAAAACGTTGTTAAGCTGAAACCAATCGCCAAGACACTGCAAACTTAAGGTCAAGTATCAAATACATCACTATCGAATAACTATTTCTTGTTTGTTTCAGTTTTAGCCATCATCAAACATGGGTGAATGCTATCTTTTGCCCGAAACTTTAGTTGTAGATTTTGTAATTTTGTAAGAAAATATGTTTGTTGAATGAATATCGATTCTCTATTTCCTTATATATGTTCACAATCGGTAAAAAGATTCTGCCTGAATAGCGTACCAATACTACATATGTAGGGCCATTTATCAATAAAATATACATGACAGAAAAACCTGAGTTGAAGACATATTAGGCCCAGGCTGATGCAGCCGAGTGGGATGAGGCACCAGCTACTTGCTGCAGACAGGCAAACAACAGCTGCAGTCTGCCAGCATACATATCAAATGTACACACACTTGCTTCAACAGTTTAATTCTACATGATGTACACAGAAATTAAACCGAGTCTATATTCAAGATCCGCCTGTCGTCACCACTACTACTATATTCACCCATGCACATGCAACTTTACCTCGGTTTTCTCCGCGCTCCGTACAAGCCTGCAAGATGCTGACCTACATACCTAACTCCTCGCCAAGTTCCCGGCTCACAGCAGATACCATCGCAGAAGGAAATGTCGGTAATACGATACAAGGGGCTAAGTGTTCAACTTCCTCACAACTATATATAAACTTTATATTACAACATATTCTTCTCTGTATATTAAGGCTATACTTACATACACTGCGGACGGTAAACAATGGTTGGGACGTCTCGGCTCCTGCCCCGCTAGAATAATGCCAGTTGAATGTCTTACCAAAGCTGGGAAGATCTTCAGCCGACCCGCCCCTCCTCTGCATATACCGTAATGTATCTGGGCATGGTCGTGTTCTGTCAGCAGCGGGGATGCCGTGGCGAGGCAAGAGTCATCTTTAAACAAAATTCTTTATGTCTTTGCTACTTTTTGAGAAGCATAACTAACAACACAATCTTGACAACCGATAGAATGGGTTCTTGTGATAAAGTGGCATTAATTAGTACGTATCTGCATCAGTATATAAGTACATGTATTTAAATGACCGACCATACATTTTATACAAGTAACGATGCATTACTATATGATATATGAACTTGTCAAATTGTAATACTGTCATCTCTATAATAATTTGACATAAATATATTCGTTGCATTACAGTTTTTGTTATTTGAAAATGTTTTCTTATGTGATTAATTGACAGACACATTATTCATTAATTTATTTGATTGTGATTTGAGTGATGCAGTTGTTGTTCAGATTACATTTTCCTGTTTATTTCTGTTAATTATTAACTAATAATTGGATGATACCATACAATATGTACATGTATTATTGATTCGGATGTTGGTTATACCATGTATGGTTTCTGAAAGTGTCTTGATCATAGATGGTTATGCGTGACGTATTGAGCTCGACAAAGTATGTTATTGTTACAGAGCCTACAATCAGGAAATACTTTCAAATGCAGTTTATATGGGGAAACGGCCTTCCTGGCAAATGTAACATCAATGTAACTCCTGCAACAGTCTTTCCAAAACGATTCAAAATATCTTAATTACAAACTATTGTGTTAAACCAACACATCATACATGACACGTTAGCTCAAATGTTGAACTGATACATGATAACACGGTAGGTCCGGTGTGTGACTAAGACATCATGGCTCATTAGCTCCTGTACACATATACCCAACACAAGCTGTTTATAGGAACCACTACGGCTTCTTGTGGTAACTGACAACCCTACCCCTCTCTCTGCCCCCTCCCTCTGCCCCCCTCCCCTCTCCCACTGGCGCCACCGAGCTTGTCACGGCGATGATGTGAACCACATGTGCTGGTGCTACCAGTGCCGCGCCAACACATGTACACAGTAGCTTCTCTCCCAGCCCGGGGGTCACCGCCGCCATTAGAAGCTGGTGCTTCGTCAACAGCATTGCTGTACATGTTAAAGTTTGCCTTTTCGGTTGCTTAGATGAAGGATTTTACATAGAGAACCCTGCACACAGTTTGCTAAACTTTACAAAACTCATCTGTAATATACATCGGGTACTTGCGAGAGGTTTAGATCTGTGCACTCGGGAATTAATGACAGAGAAACTGGCTATGGTTCTAATTTACTACCTACAGCATAATGCATAAGTTCAAAATTAAAAGTTCCATGATATAAGTTCTTTCATTACCACAAGTCCAAACTGTGAAACATCACTTACGTAATGAGTTCTCCTTTTTCATAAGTAAGTTCTTAAAATAACCTTTATGTGTTCCACATTATTTCCATAAACTTTGTTAATGTTAAAAAATATATCATAGATTTACACAAATTATGCGTGCATTTCCGCAATAATAAGTATTGTCTCAACATAGTGCTCAATATAATTTTCCGTCATGTGTTTCAACAATAATGCCAGTATCATTCAATATTTTGTTCACATGTTTCCACAATATGTTCATGTATCTTTCAGAGGCTTTATTTTATCTGTAGATGCCACAGGTGACGAATGTGAGTCTGTAGAGTGGAGGTGTACATGGATAATCAACGGACCCTCCACAATCCGGACTTCGAGCTGATAACAGACTAATTGAGTGCACACAATTATTGTCCTACATATACAAAAGAATGGTCATGCGGTTTTGCATGGAGGGCAACAGGGAAAAGGTGTAGGCCTCTCTACTGAGAGATGACCATCATTATTTAGCGCAGAGGCCATATACCGGTATCGTTATATAGTCTTTGTTTAACTGGATGCATCGGCAATTACGTATATGAGTTGTAGGCGGACACGCATACATGTTGGAATTAAGTGGCTGCTCGTTTTATCAAGCGAAAATGAAACGGGGACCGAGGCACTTTCTATATTGTGACGACGTATGTCTTCACTGAACTATATATATTACTAGCCCAGAATCATTAGCAAACTGAACGATATTCGAAAACGGGCTTGAAATAATCTGGGACTTTATTGAATTCAAATTAACAAACAATCAATTGTAAGAAGCAGCTGCTGTATCGTATATCAGACTTCAATGCAATAACCATGATTGAAATTTCCCGCAATTTCCTCTAAACTGTCCCTTGATGTCCCTTGATGATACCTTTATCTTAACATGCATGCACTCCCTCACGCTCAACGTATCCCTCGCCACCCCCTTCCTCATCTCCACCCAATTCTCTCCCCCCCCCCCCCTCTCCCTTCTTCAGACCCTCTAATGACCTTCCCACACAGCGGTCAAGGCGGCCATCTGTTTTGTCTGTCAACCACTGACCACTCTGATATCCCCCGTGACGCTTCTTGTAACTTTAGTCATCCGCATCGCTTCTTCAATAAACTGTCTTCAGTGCGTTGGAGGCAATCACTATGAGACCTGTGCTATGTTACATGTTGTAGACACATACATGTATGTGATGTGCACTGTCCTGTACATTGTCGCAGTCTATAGCATCGAAGTAAGTTAACCGCAAGTTAACTGATTTGGACATGAGACCGACATGCATTGTGACTTGGAAAATGGACACCGTTCGTTGTGGTAATCAAGGGAAGGGAATACTAGGTATTCTGGCAATCAGGTTACGGAACATCAGGCATTGTGGCAACCAGGGAAAGGGAATACTATGTATTGTGGCAATCAGGTTACGGAACATCAGGCATTGTGGCAACCAGGGAAAGGGAATACTAGGTATTGTGGCAATCAGGTTACGGAACATCAGGCATTGTGGCAACCAGGGAAAGGGAATACTATGTATTGTGGCAATCAGGTTACGGAACATCAGGCATTGTGGCAACCAGGGAAAGGAAATACTAGGTATTGTGGCAATCAGGTTACGGAACATCAGGCATTGTGGCAACCAGGGAAAGGGGATACTATGTATTGTGGCGCTCAGGTTACGGAACATCAGGCATTGTGGCAACCAGGGAAGGGGAATACTAGGTATTGTGGCAATCAGGTTACGGAACATCAGGCATTGTGGCAACCAGGGAAAGGGAATACTATGTATTGTGGCAATCAGGTTACGGAACATCAGGCATTGTGGCAACCAGGAAAAGGGGATACTATGTATTGTGGCAATCAGGTTACGGAACATCAGGTATTGTGGCAACTAGGGGAAGGGAATACTATGTATTGTGGCAATCAGGTTACGGAACATCAGGTTTTTTGGCAACTAGGGGAAGGGAATACTAAGTATTGTGGCAATCAGGTTCCGGAACATCAGGTATTGTGGCAACTAGGGGAAGGGAATACTAGGTATTGTGGCAAACAGGTTCCGAAACATCAGGTTTTGTGGCAACTAGGGGAAGGGGATACTATGTATTGTGGCAATCAGGTTACGGAACATCAAGTTTTGTGGCAACTAGGGAAAGGGATTATTATGTATTGTGGCAATCAGATTACGGAACATCAGGCATTGTGGCAACCAGGATACGGAACATCGGGGATTGTGGCAACTAGGGGAAGGAATTATTAGGTATTGTGGCAATCAGGTTCCGGAACATCAGGTATTGAGGCAACCAGGATACGGAACATCAGGCATTGTGGCAACCAGGGAAAGGGAATACTAGGTATTGAGGCAACCAGGATACGGAACATCAGGTATTGTGGCAACCAGGGAAAGGGAATACTATGTATTGTGGCACTCAGGTTCCGGAACATCAGGTATTGTGGCAATTAGGGGAACGGAATACAATGTATTGTGGCAATCAGGTGTAGGTGAGGTGAAATGGGGTTTAATGTCGCATTCAAGATTATTGCACTTATATGGCGACGTGCATCGGAACTGAATTCTATGTATTGCGGCAATCAGGGAACGGAATTCTATGTGTTGTGGCAATCAGGGAACTGAATTCTGTGTGTTGTGGCAATCGGGAGAACTGAATTCTATGTGTTGTGGCAATCGGGAGAACGAAATTCTATGTGTTGTGGCAATCAGGGGAATACCCTACAAGATGGTCCGGGACACTTGTTAAAGTGTCAACGTGGAGACCAGAACACCCTGACAATGGGGACAGGACGCCGTTTGTGTCAATGAGGGTGACACTACCGGTATAGGTTCTGAACATGTTGTAACAACAGGACCATATACTTCAACAGTAATGTGTCTCTGAACATGTTGTAACAACAGTATCATATACTTCAACAGTAATGTGTCTCTGAACATGTTGTAACAACAGGACCATATACTTCAACAGTAATGTGTCTCTGAACATGTTGTAACAACAGGACCATATACTTCAACAGCAATGTGTCTCTGAACATGTTGTAACAACAGGACCATATACTTCAACAGTAATGTGTCTCTGAACATGTTGTAACAACAGGACCATATACTTCAACAGCAATGTGTCTCTGAACATGTTGTAACAACAGAACCATATACTTCAACAGCAATGTGTCTCTGAACATGTTGTAACAACAGAACCATATACTTCAACAGCAATGTGTCTCTGAACATGTTGTAACAACAGGACCATATACTTCAACAGTAATGTGTCTCTGAACATGTTGTAACAACAGGACCATATACTTCAACAGCAATGTGTCTCTGAACATGTTGTAACAACAGAACCATATACTTCAACAGCAATGTGTCTCTGAACATGTAACAACAGGACCATATACTTCAACAGTAATGTGTCTCAAGCCTAATTCTTGGAAACTTCATTTTCAACAGCTGTTTGTACTATAAGTATATATTATGAACATCGTCTGTACGAAATATTAGAATATGTCTTCGTGAACTAACTGTCGACAAATAGAAGACAAACAATAGTAACCGAATTGAGACGTTCCAGTGTAGCACTTGTTTATCGAAACTGTCTTCAATTATTGTAAAATTATGCACATTATACTACCCTCACACAACCACACGACCAAGCTGCATCAAAAGACACGGCCACAGTCCCGATTGTAATATCTGTAAATGTATTTGTTTCTCTGTGATTCCATGTGTCACGCTGACGGCCCCGTGTCGCTTTTCACATGAATTGGATGTGGTACTCACTCAATTGTTTTGTACGCGAGGCGAGACAGCCCATTATTCAGCATATTAGACACATTAAATCGCAGTTGTGAGAAATATACCTCTGTATGAAGCACGTCAGGTTAATGTGATACTCGGATGCTGCGATCCACTGGTACTTACATTAAAGTGTCTCCAAATCTCTGGAAATACGTTATAATGCATATGCAGAAAACTTCAACGTGCTGATTTTTACAGACACGCGAATGTGATGAACGCTTGATATTGCAAACCCCGTTGGGTTATTTTAAATGCCATGATTATCAGTTTAAATCCTAATTCCTAGATTATATATATAAGAAGAAGAAGAACATTTAATGTACATAAACACCCACTGGGGGCAGAGTACAAAACATGACCATGACTAGTTATAATGAAAAGTTATGACATTGACATACACAATGGAATACGAATATTGCTATGATTAAGGTCTGGAGAGGAGATGCAGATTTTCTTATTAATATATATAATCAGAACACTCAAGCTCTCCCAGTTAAAGACTGGTGTCCTCAGTGTGAGTGAGTATGGTTTTACGCCGCTTTTAGCAATATTCCAGCAATATCACGGCGGGGGACACAAGAATTGGGCTTCACGAATTGTACCCATGTCGGGAATCGAACCCGGGTATTCGGCGTGACGGGCGAACGCTTTAACCACTAGGCTACCCGACCGCCCCCGGTGTCCTTAGACTGTCGGCTCATCTTGAATTACCTGGATAGAAGGATAGAAATACTGTACATCATTCAGCACAGCCTTGCATCCAGGCTACGTTATTGTTATCATTAAGCAGGCTTATGATTTTTCCCTGGGTAGGATAAAGTTGGACACTCTTTATTATTACTCCCACCACGCCCTTCTAAGCTTACGCACCTATCCTAACCGGAGCTTCATTTAAAATCTCACTGACATAATGTGTGTAAAATGCTATTGAGAATATATGAATGTAAATTGACAAATACTTATACATGTATTTTGTTTAACCGAAATGGCATTTGCAATCTTCGAATACTCCGAATAGCCCCTTTGTTAAATTCGGTCTACTAATATATATATATATACAGCACATTTAAATCATGGACGTTAGTGATACAAGACAGAGGATTTTGTAATCTCAATATTCAGTGTTACCATGGAAACGCGGCATCCTAGAGGGCGCGGCAATCGGAGGAATCCAGTTTCACACATATGGCACTTATCTCGCCGCCGTCTTGGTGCACGAAGCAAACCCATTCCGGAATAACGGAAGATATCAACATCTGCTAGGGAGAGCGATAGCATTCTGGAATGGTTCTCAAACAAGAATTCAGTTTGGAAGATATTTTCGGAAAATCGTCGGCCATTTTGAAGCATCGTATTATTTTCCCGAAAGTTTGCGAAGTTGGTAAAGACGGTTAAATTGGGACACACTTAATCAGGACTGTGAGTATTTCTCCCTCGATAAGAACAGTGTGTTGTACATGTATAGCTTCTGCATATCTGTGTGTGGGAATATTTCCCTTTCATAAGCTGTTCTGTGACAGGTGCAGGCGGTGATTCACTGTCAAGATGCTGTAGGCGCGGAGTTTATTGTTGCAATTACATCATTCTGTATTTGACAAAGGAATTGCGTTTGTCGTTGCATCTAGCAATATGAATTATTTAGGGTTGACGTAAGTAAATATATTACTTTGCTTAAAGTCTATCCACAGACGTGATACCGATACTGGAACAATCCTATGCATTCAATCTGCAGCTGTACCTATGCCTACAGGTGATATTATCTGCAAGGGACCGGTTATTTATCCTAGAAGAGTTGGGGATTTAGTCTTGGGACTTTATGATATTTTGCTGCCCCCCCCCCCCCCCCCCCTCTCTTTTATGTAACAAGTTTACATGCCACCGACCCCCCCCCCCCCCCCCCGCACCCCGCACCCCCCATATACATGTAGCATTATCCCGTAACCCTCCCGAAAATAAATTATCAGTCCCAGAATAACTTTTTTATTTGCACTAAATAGAACCGTGTTATGTTTTCAAGGCTACCTTTTAACGGACTTTTTCTTTCCACATTGAGTAAGGAATAATCCGAAGAACACGTGAATGGTTGCAATCACATATAGATAATGTCTATGTGTTGTAATGGGACTCTAAATCTCATTAAGTGCTCTGTTCACATTCATTCAACCCTAGAAGCGACAGACATCATTTCAAATGTATTTTATGTAAAATGTTAAGTGTATGAAGTAATGTTATTTACACATCTAAAAATCTTGTCGACAAAGTTTGACGCTATTTATTTTTGATCCGAAAAATATGGATACTGATTACTCTGTTTCATAGAATCAATTGAACAGAAGAATTACACCAGAAACATGGCCTGTTATCAATAAAGCGTTCAGGTGTTCGGTCTGTGTTGAAGTGGAGATCATTAATTCGACGTATTTATCTGACTGATTGAGATCACTGATATGTCACACATTAACGTCTGCTTGAAATCAGTGATAATATATGCACACACCAGGCATATCTGACAGCTTGAAATTACAGATAATATATACACATCAGACATATCTGACTGCTTGAAATTACAGATAATATATACACACCAGACATATCTGACTGCTTGAAATTACAGATAATATATACACACACCAGACATATGTGACTGTTTGAAATTACAGATAATATATACACACCAGACATATGTGACTGTTTGAAATCACAGATAACATATACACACACCAGACATATGTGACTGCTTGGAATTACCAATAATATATATACACACCAGACATATGTGAATGCTTGAAATTACAGATAATATATACACACACCAGACATATATGACTCTTTGAAATTACAGATAATATATACACACACCAGACATATCTGACTGCTTGAAATCTCAGATAATATACACACACACACACACACACACACACACACACACACACACACACACACACACACACACACACACACACACACACACACACACACACACACACACACACACACCAGACATATCTGACTGCTTGCAATTACAGATAATACACATATACACCAGACATATCTGACTGCTTGGAATCACAGATAATATATACACACACCAGACATATGTGATTGCTTGAAATTACAGATAATATATACACACACCAGACATATCTGACTGTTTGAAATTACAGATAATATATACACACACCAGACATATCTGACTGCTTGGAATCACAGATAATATATACACACACCAGACATATCTGACTGCTTGGAATCACAGATAATATATACACACACCAGACATATGTGACTGTTTGAAATTACAGATAACATATACACACACCAGACATATCTGACTGCTTGAAATCTCAGATAATATATACACCCACACACTCACACCAGACATATCTGACTGCTTGAAATTACAGATAATATATATACACACCAGACATATCTGACTGCTTGGAATCACAGATAGTATATACACACACCAAACATATCTGACTGCTTGAAATTACAGATAATATATACACACACCAGACATATGTGACTGTTTGAAATTACAGATAATATATACACACACCAAGCATATGTGACTGTTTGAAATTACAGATAATATATACACACACCAGACATATCTGACTGCTTGGAATTACCAATAATATATACACACACCAGACATAGCTGACTGTTTGAAATTACAGATAATATATACACACCAGACATATCTGACTACTTGGAATCACAGATAATACACACACACACCAGACATATCTGACTGCTTGAAATCACAGATAATACACACACACCAGACATATCTGATTGCTTGAAATCACAGATAATACACACACACACACCAGACATATGACTGCTTGCAATTACAGATAATACACACACACACCAGACATATCTGACTGCTTGCAATCACAGATAATACACACACACACCAGACATATCTGATTGCTTGAAATCATTAACATATACAGTCTGAAAAATAAAAACAACGCCTTTTTGGATCTCTCCCTAGTCGCTACATGTGGCAACCCGCTCAACTTAACGCAGGTCGACCGTCCTCGTACAGAAACATACACGGAAGAGAAACAATACGCCAATTAATGCTAATGACAAAACACTAATCTGCGGCGCAAAACGACATTTATTATACATTGTCAGATACAATTGTACAAATACACTTATGATGAGTTGTATTTAACTAATGTGTATAGCCCAATGCGTTACCTGCAGAAAACATAGTTTTACTGTTTAAACCAACTCCTTAACATTTTGTTTATTTGTTTGTTAACGCCACATACAGCAATATTCCAGCTACATGACGGCGGTCTGTAAATAATCGAGTCTGGTGATTGACATCATGAGCGTCGATCTACTCATGAGTTACGGTGACATTCATCAGCCAGGTCAGCGAGCCTGATCACCCGACCGCGTCAGTCGCCTCTTACGTGAGTGAGTGAGTGAGATTGGTTTTACGCCGCTTTTAGCAATATTCCAGCATTATCACGGCGGGGGACACCAGAAATGGGCTTCACGCATTGTACCCATGTCGGGATTCGAACCCGGGTCTTCGGCGTGACGAGCGAACGCCTTAACCACTGGGCTTCCCGACCGCCCCCGCATCTTACGGCATTCGTGGGTTGCTGAAGACCAATTCTAACCCGGATCATCACGATTCGACTCCGTTATAAATTACATAAAAGAAACATTATTGTGTAAGAACTTCGGTTCAATACAGAGTTACACAACAGTACATTCGACATCCATAACTTTTGAGGACGCCATTTCTTAGAATTTATAGCTCTTGTTTTAAGTGATACGCCACGTTAACGTTTAGTATTTTATGGATGAAAGGTTTCATAGCCGGTTTCATAGTTGATACTGGAAGGGAGTATGTACATGTTTATTATATCTTCGAACACCAAATACCGTGAAACATGAAACAGAAAGGGCATATACTTATATTTAGAAATGTCCTTAATGGATAAACCGGCAGATATGATAAAACCAATCTAAAACCTGTTCTGGAGAGTGTTAATACGAGATATTGACTTTGATTCCTCCACAGCTCTAAACCCACCAAGATGTCCAGCACACGCACCAAGAAGTCCAAACGGACTCGAACCCAGCGCTACACGTCCAATGTGTTCGCCATGTTCGACCAAGCACAGATCCAGGAGTTCAAGGTAGGCAAGGGGCCAGGCAGTTGGGATTTTGTTGATCAAAGAATCTAGTAACTTCTTTAAGTGGCGGGGGCCCAATCGTCTAAGGCGCCGCGATTCGCTGTGCAGAGTTGCGTCCCTTGAGCACGCCAGAAACCTATGATTGTGGTTCGAATCGTCTAAGGCGCCGCGATTCGCTGTGCAGAGTTGCGTCCCTTGAGCACGCCAGAAACCTATGATTGTGGTTCGAATCCCGGTTCGCCCGATTATGTTTCTAGGTTTCACCGAAGTGGTAAACGTCTGAGACCTGCATCACTTCGGGCTTTCCTCTCACATTTAGCTGACACGCCGCGATATAACTGGAATACTGTTAAAAGCGGCGTTAAACCCTACTCACTCACTCACTCTTTAAGTAGCATTGAGGAGTCGGTATGATGAACACAGAAGATAGTTCTATGGATGCACTTCTTTTTTGCAATTTCAAGTGCGACGTTTCGGCGTAGATACTAACAACGTCATCAAGCAAGTGCTATCACCATAAGAACTAGCCCCCTTGTTCAAATGAATCTAGTCCTGAAAACAACAATTAAAATTCACTTGACAAAAATATATTGCTTGAATAAAATTGTACAGTAAACTACGGTTATAACGAACTCAAAGGGACTACTAATTTCAGTTCGTAATAACCGTAGTTCTTTATAAACATATATACAGCATATATACAACAAATGGCCTGGACTAAAAAAATGTGTTCGTTATATCGGTCAGTTCGTTATAAGCGTGTTCGTTATAAACGTAGTTTACTGTATGTCTTAAAATGCTCATTGAAAACCTTCTGTCTCAGCAAATCGCCCATCACGCCTTTCCCCAATAGAGAGGTTGTATGGTGGACAGTAAACAAACAAATAACACTACATTGAAGCGCACGTAAAATTCAATGCACACACACGGAGACCTCTCGAATGAAAAGTGCCGGCTCCTCATTCAACTCTCCCCTACTTCAGAAATGAAAGGTTCCTAAGCGTTATTGTCTTCTCAACCTTAGTTCAGAGGCTTTGTAGTCATGTAAGCTTATATGAAGTTCAATAACATCATGACAATAAATGGTTTGTTATGATCATAGATATGGAAGCGACGATCCCAGCACTCAACAAATATGTAATAAATAATTATTTTCATACAGTTCTGGGGGAACGGGTGGCACCGTCGTCTTAGGCGCCACATTTTGCTGTGCAGATTTGCGCCCACTGGGCACGCCAGAAACTTTTGATTGTGTGTTCGAATCCCGTTTGCCCCGATTATGCTTCAAGGTTTCTCAGAACGACACCAATGACCGTGGTAAACATCTAAGACCTGCATCACTTAGGGCTTTCCTTCCCTATTAAGCCGACATACCGTGATAAAACTAGAATACTATTCAAAGAGGCGTTAAACCCGCTCACTCGGTCGGACAGTACTAGCATAGTGTGACATTTGTCCAGTGAGACACTATAGTTTGAGGGAAAATAGCGCGAACACCTGTTGTTATCAGCAGAAGGAATAATCCTCCTCATACCATACCCAATTTCAGTTTATCTTATACTACTAATCCATCTTGTAATGCTGAAGCCACATTTAACCTTACTATGTAATAACGTCTCAAAACATAAATTGTGTATCTGTAAACTATATTATGTCTGATGCTCAGTGGGACGGCGAGGTAGTTCATAGGTCAAGACGTTCATTTTTTTACCCTAGAGTCTCGGGATCGATTCACATGAATACAATGTTCGTAGCCCATTGCTGGTGTCTCCCTGTTTCTCACTCACGCCATCCCCTGTTAACTGTTGTGTTCATTCCACGTGTAGGAGGCCTTCAACATGATCGACCAGAACCGGGATGGTTACATTGACAAGGACGACCTTCTGGAGATGCTCACGTCCCTCGGGAAGGACCCCTCCGATAATGACCTTGACGTCATGATCAACATGGCGCCGGGGCCCATCAACTTTACCATGTTCCTCACGCTGTTCGGAGAGAGGCTGAACGGTACAGATCCTGAAGACGTCATTAAAAACGCATTCGCTTGCTTTGATGAAAAGAATGCAGGTGAGGATCTATGCGGAGGATGCATATTATATATGACTAATGTTGAACATTTTCCAGCGTGTAACTTGATATTGGTTCTGATTGGTAAGATTTGAACAACACCTCTAGTATTGTCTAGTAATAGAGATAGTTGTATATGAAACAGTAATTGATATCAAAGAGATCCATTCCCCTTGTGCACTTGGCTGTCAGTCTCACATGTTTGTGCAACAACCCAACTCACTCTCCTACCCACAGTTCCATGCGGCCGGCAGCCAGCCAGCACAGTGCCTCTGCCAAAATATTGAATATGCTTTTCATCTGTTTCATGTTTGACAAGTCTACACATTTTCATAAACAAATGTCAAAGAATGGTTACGGTTCATTAAGAAAGTATCCTAATACGTGAAAATCTACTTGTTTACATTCGTTGTTCGAATCCACGTGCTGTCATCGAAGCCCAACGGAGAGCTAGCAATACGGTCACTTTGATATATAAATATATATTGTCGTGAAATTCACTGTCGCAGTTGTAGTTGCATATTTATGTAATTATGCAAAACAATATGTTAAGTGCCCCCAAATACTTGCATTAGTCCGTTTTATACTGATTTCTGAAAGCGCGCGTTTGTTTACAAACAAGAGAAAAGTCCGGTCACGTGATATGCAAATTAGCCTGTGGCAGTGGTGTTATGCTGAGTCACCACTGCGCCGGAGTGTGAACCCAACTATATGACGGACTGCGGCCTGGAAATAAGACCTGGCAAAGTAGTGATTGATATTACGTACGTGCAATGCCACACGCCGTCGGGATGCGATATGACGTAATCAACCAAGTCAACGAGTCTGACCACCCAATCCATGTACTTGCAGTCGCCTCTCATGACAACAGTAGGATGCGGGATATATCTATCCCAACCCGGAATCCCCTTGAGGTTCACACAATGGACCTTCAATTATATCTTCAAGACTTAGTTCATTTCTCCGTTTATCATCACTTCATGCACGCGCATTACATCCGTAGAAACAAACGCTTGTATGTCGACATTCAATATCTTATATATAACTATCGAAATACTCGAACCACAACCCCAGATATACAATGAAACCCTGTTAATCAAGACCCTGCTAGTCAGGAAACCTTGGATTCCAGGTGATTATTGCTGAAAATGTCTATATATGAAAATGATATCAGGACATTAATCTATGGCCATCATTCGTGACATTTGTTCATCTGCAATTTCAACAGCAACACTACGAGCTATAAGTGAGTGAGTGGGTATGGTTTTACGCCGCTTTTAGCAATATTACAGCAATATCACGACGGGGGACACCAGAAATGGGCTTCACACATTGTACCCATGTCGGGAATCGAACCCGGGTCTTCAGCGTGACGAGCGAACGCTTTAACCACTAGACCACCCCACCGCCCTCTAGATCTACGAGCTATTAATGTACAGGAAATGGTAACGTTTGTTGTTACATGAAATGATAAAGTTTAATTTTACATGAATTGGTAAAGTTTATTTTTATATGAAACGGTAAAGTTAATATTCATGAAATGGTAAAGTTTGTTGTTACATGAAATAATAAAGCTTATTGTTACATGAATTGGTAAAGTTTATTCTTTATATGAAATGGTAAAGTAAATGTTTACATGAAATGGTTAAGTATGTTCTTACATGAAATGGAAAAGTTTATTTTTACATGTAATGATAAAGTTTGTTGAAACATAAACTGGTACCGTCGATTATTCGATACACATATTTGATATGAATGAATCCTTGTTTGCTTCTTCAACATTCAAATCTGGGTAACGCGGACTGTCCATCATAGATTAACCATTATAACTTTTAATAATATTGATAACGGCCCAATTGAAACTTTATTTGTTAACTCTTCGATTTGTAAGACTATATACCCTTGTAATCATACGAATCCGATATTATCTTCATACTCATATGAAAAATGAAGGACCCGTGAAGATTCCGGGGTAGAATAGGTCTTCAGCAACCCATGCTTGCCGTAAAAGGCGATTATGCTTGTCGGAAAAAGGCGACTAACGGGATCGGGTGGTCAGGCTCGCTGACTTGGTTGATGCATGTCATCGATCCCAATTGCGTGGATCGATGCTCATGAAATTAATCACTGGATTGTCTGGTCCAGACTTGATTATTTACAGACCGCCGTCATATAGCTGGAATATTGCTGAGTGCGGTGTTAAACAACAAACCAACAAACCAAAGAAAAATGAAGAGTAACTGCACACAAGGCTGCTCGATGTCATAACTTAAAACAAATTATTACACGAGTTGTCTCCCCTAGGCTACATTCCGGAGGAGTATCTGCGCGAATGCCTGACAACAATGGGCGACAGATGGACCGACGACATGGTGGACGATCTCCTGCACGGCGCCCCGATCACCGACGGCAGATTCGACTACGCTGAGTTCACCCGAATGCTCAAACATGGTGCCAAGGAGAAAGATGAAGATGAGGTTGCGGACGAACCAATCGAATCCTCAGCCCTCACCAAAGCTAAAGCATGATGACTGTGATTCTCTGTGCGCGGGTGTGTTTGAGCGTATGTTCCATGTTTGTGAGACTTTTAAACATGGTCCATGTTCTATGAGGTCCTCGTTCTATTAGCGTGATTCCACTGTGCCACGAATTAATATTTATCAGTAGCGTAATGTGTTTAGTGCATTCTTTGTTTAGGAGAGTGAACATTTTTCAGGGTTTGAGTATATCCGACACCTGCTTCAAATTATGCTTACAACTTTCCCTTTACAATGTCACTTCCGAGAGGCAAAATCTAGGACAGACATTATTTGGTTGTGATGTCGCGTTTTGATAACAGGGTAACGAGAGTGATATCTGTACATGCATTATGTATACATTTGCTTGCAATTTTATTCCATATTTTATTGTTTTTCTAGTTCTGAAAATTATGTCTTCTTGACAAAATTATATATATCGCTTAATGCTGGAAGTACTTTTAGTCTGCTTAAATGACACTATAGTCAGAGTACGAAAATCGGTAAGAAAGTACATGTAACTTTTGTCTTTTTAAGGGATAAATATCATGGGTATCTCGTCTGTGACCTGTGACATTTGTAATTTTTACTCGTGGTTGTGCCAGATGTCAACATATACAGGCCAGTCGAGACAAGTATGCCCTTCGTTTTCTTAATGCATATTAGTAGTTAGGATATCATATCACCCGTGTGTTCTGTAGCTATATCTGTTGTGATATCCCCTTTCGCACAAGATTACCTTGCTATACCTCACTGCACCATGCTATTGGTTGCGTTTTGTCGATATGTTTTGATTATAGGTTTTCATATTTGTCATTATGTATTGGTTTCATTTTTTACGAATAAGATTATGTTTATGTTTTGCACCGCATTCACGACCCAATGGTGACCAATTCATTCACCATACGTTGTAACAGTGTTATTTTATTGTTTTTAAGCCGTTTAAATCAGTTTCAGTTTTTACATTGAACTAGACTTATATCATTTGCAATTTAGTTTACTCAATAATAGTCCTTGGTGTGAAGCCTTTTATTTCAGTATTCCTACATTGTTTCTGTGTGTGAAAGTTACTTAAATGTGATGTACAATGAAACAATGAAACGCTCGCTTGATAATGAAATGTGGGAAAAAAAGGTCTCACAATCTCATTAAAATCAGATCTTAGTTCTCTCTACCGCTAAACAAAGATCTGAGGACATCCCATTAGGGGTCACGTCAGAACGACCTTTCATCCGACCAATCAGAGCGTCGCTTACCAGATCATGAAAATGACAGTCGCAATGTGATTTCTAATCATGCAGCCTCGAAAACTTTTAAACGGGATATTCCGAACGATAGTTACGGGCTTAACGACTGAATCTATACAATCTAGACCATATATGAGCCATTCGAGGATGGTTTTTTGTTCACGTTTCAAACTTTTAATCGAGAATTTGTTAAAATATGTTTCGCCAATTTGAAATTAGTGCCGGAAAGCACGAGAAAGCTGCCTTCTGATTGGCTAATGTCGACTTCTTGTCAGTAATTCCATTGGTCGGTCAGAGTTCGCGAAAGGTCTGACTGACGTGACCGGTAATGGGATGTCCTCAGATCTTTGTTTAGCGGCAGCGAGAACTAAGATCTGATTTCAACGAGATTGACATGTCTCATGAATTCTGAGGGTAATTTGTAAATTAATAGTCAGTGGAGATGTTCCCGGTCCTCCCATTTTTCTGATCCGTCACCCACACACCTTTACACGTGCATCGTTCTTGTGTACGCCACCTGGCCATGACGAACATCTCCAAATAAAGTACAGAAACCTCGAAACGCCTGAGTTTGTGTTATGTGTTAATGTGTGCATGAGAAGTAGCGGCAGGTGGTTGGTTGTCGGACGTAAGCGAATTCTGTGCAGATCCAAATGCGTTTTAACAATCGGGTATATGGTATAACCTTTTTGGTTTTTTTAACGCCGCACTCATGTAATTACGGCTATGTAACGACGGTTTGTAAATAATCGACTGGACCAGACAATCTAGTGGTTGACATCATGAGCAACGATCCACTCGATTGGGATACGATGACATGCGTCAACCAAGTCAGCGAGCCCGACCACCCGATCCCGTTAGTCGCGTCTTACGACAAGCACAGACGCTTTTTTCGGCAAGCATGGGTTGCTGAAGACCTATTCTGCGCCGGATCTTCGCGGGTCTTGTGATATCTGAAGCTAGAGTAGGTGCACCAGCTGTCATACACCATCCAGAGCTGTCTGTGTTGTCTGTTTAGTACCTTTCTGGCTTCTCGTTGCCAGTGGCAGTTATACCATGTGTGAGTACTGTTTCTAGCAGGGGTAATGATTGCAACTTGGTATACATTTTCTGACATGTCAGAAAGGTTTCACAAGCTGATGATGCCAAACACGTACACCACGCATGGTCAAGATCCGATTCTTTTTATTTCACTACATGAAATCAATTATTTCAATTCCATATTAAGAAAAAGAAATCTCTGCAAAATGCAGAGTTCGTTGTACAATTCTGAATACATGTCCGGGGGCACGGGTGGCCCAGTCGTCTAAGGCGCCGCGATTCGCTGTGCAGAGTTGCGTCCTTTGGACACGCCAGAAATCTATGGTTGTGGGTTTATGTTTCTAGGTTTGCCAGCACCATACCCGTGCTCGTGGGTTTCACCGAAGTGGTAAACGTTCCGGACCTGCATCACTTCGGGCTATCCTCCCACATTAAGCTGACACGCCGTGATATAACTGGAATACTGTTAAAAACGGCGTTAAACACAACTCACTCACTCACACTGAATACATGTCCAACTGTCTGTCTCATTCACTGAAAGGCCGCTTCACTGAGAAGTATTTGCAGTCAGCCGTAAACAGAAGGACACTCAACTCCTCTTGTCTCATCACTCATATTTCTTAACCCTCGCCGCGAGGAGTTCAGCGTGTATGTATCTCACACACTGTTTGGATAACTGAGAGGCAAGTGTTTGTTCAACGGCTTTCTTATACTGGGAATTTATATTTCAGTTGCTAAATACTTACAATTCTGAGGACGTTTTTGACTAAGGGGCTTGACTAACGTTGCTCACGAACAGATTAAGATGGTCCTGAATTAAGCTACACTGAACTTCGGTGGTGGATTATGTCAAATTAAGCACTGTCAGCAATGAGCAATAAACATGTTTCTTCACGGGTTCGACAACAAGGAGTTGTAATTGCCTTATTATAGGTAAAATGTAGTTGCCTGAAAAATAAGGGTCGTTCCTGTTTTGAGTTCATGAACTGAACTTCATTGGTGCAAATATAATACCAACACGTATTTGTTATTCACAAAAGTAAATAAGTCTACATACACATTTTCTTCAGTGGTTTGTATTTTTATGCCCTTCCCACCGAACTTTTGTAGAATCGTTGTCCGTCACGTTTCGTGTCCGGCGCACAGCACATAAACGATTCAATATAGCTTCATGCAACCATGTATCCACTTCAGGCACACACTCAACTGGTGCGTTGTTCTTTTCAGGATCTTCTTTTGCGTATCATTGCAATAACTCAAACGAGGGTAGGGATTGTTTCCAGACAAATGTTTCCCATTTCTTTATGTTAAGGGGGGGGGGGGGGGGGGGGGGGGGGGGAATGGGTGGCGCCGGAAACTTATGATTGTGGGTTCGAATCCCGGATCGCCCCGAATATGTTTCTAGGTTTGTCAGCACCATACCCGTGCTCGCGGGTTTCAACGACGTGGTAAACGTCTGAGACCTGCATCACTTCGAGCTTTCCTCCCACATTAAGCTGACACACCCTGATATAACTGGAATACTGTTCCAAGCGGCATTAAACCCAACTCACTCACTCACTAACTTTATATTAGGCCAATGCAGAAATGGTTGGTTTTGCCATTGAGATGGCGTTTTTATATTTTGTGTTTAAAAGTTGGACTGAGGCTAAAATGAGGATTCCATTTTGCAGTTTAATCATCTGTCATGTCAGTTGTACTCAATATGCATTGTTTGATTTATGTACATATTTAAAAGGGCGGGGGATATTGACGACTCCAGTTTACATCCGATAGTTGATAGTATTACCATAACAATGCAATGGCAAAATGGGGTTTCATTTACGGCCCCAGTTAATCAAAGGTATTTTTTTAATTTTATAGGTCTATTGAGATGGCATTATTTCATGATTAAAAATAGAAAGGTAGGAAACACAAAAATGGGAAACAAATCAATCTCAGTCATCCTATCATCCACGCATTCTGAAATCCGAAAGTGCTTTCACTGCCGGAACATTTTTTTTATCAAACTATGACGATCAAGGGTATTTAAAACAAGGGCAAAAGTGAGCGTGGCACACTAATACCCCCGACCCGCCTAGTGTGTCAGTAGTTTCAAATTAATTAATGGATTGGGTTAGGGTTTGAAAAAATCAAACAAAAATGGTAAATTAATAAAAACATTTTTTTTCTTTTGACTGCACCCCTCCATATGACACAGATTATATTACTAAGTTTGAGATGAATGCACTGAATAGTTTAAGAGAAATCGCGCGGACAAAGTTTTCGGACGGACGGACGGACGGACGGACGGACGGAACCTTGGTATAAAAAACCATCGACATCCGATGAGCTTCCATCGTTCTTGTTGTCAGTTTGTTTAGGTTGAAGAAATTAATTACCATGCGACCTTTGTAATATCGAAATATTCACAGATCACTAGTGACACAGATCCTCAGATTGTGAAAAATGGTTATATTCTATAACACGATCTCATTCACATCATATACAAGTAAAGACCTCACTGAATATGGTCTTATTTATATGAGGGAAAGGATATTGCTTAACATGATAAGAACATAAAGTGAGAAGATAAAAATTGCGTTAATTGCTGTTATAAAAGCGTTTCTGAAACATAAAAAGCACCGACTCTAACCGATGATAGTCCCACCATGACCATCAAGGGAACAACACGTGGCCACGGCCAACACCCCTTGTTCGCCAGTAAACTTATCTTCACCATTCATGGCAGTGCACCATTCCCCCTTAGCCTGCGTCCCTAGAAAACAGATGAACAGACAGGGCTAGGATGTATGGAATACCTTAACATGACAGATTGGTCATGTTTAATTAGCAGTTGTATGAAGAGATACTCATTCTGTTATTTTCAATGTGGAGCTATGTTATGTGTAGATGCAAACATAGAATGTGGAACCAAACGCCATGTGTATGCTTCCAATGTTAAATCTAGGGCAGTTGATTTTACAGATGCAATATGAGATATACATTGAAAACATAGTATGATTTATATTTCCATTCTACCCGGACAAAATACAACGCCAAAATCTTTGCTTTTAAGTATGATTGTGAATCAAGTAGCGTAGGTTGATAATGGTGTTTTGAGTGGGTTGCCGAATTGAAGGAATCGCAGCCAATACCACGTTACTGTGTGCGATAGTGAAGCGCCCATTTCAGTTATATATCTAATACTTGAAATATACTCCATAAGTGAACTTGTGCACTACCATAATACTTTCAGCATTGACGAAACTCGGCATTTTGTAACCTACATGGCAACGGAGACGGAAGGGAAGTCAGCTGTTTCAATAAGAGATAGCATTGTAATTTGAAAACTCTCGCTGACAATTCAAAATCGAGGTTTATTTCAAAAGCCACGGAATGTAAATGATAATATTCATAATAATGATATTGAAATTTGTGTTTCGATGATTTCAGGATTTGATTCATAAGAAATCACATACAGTGCGGTATCATGGCGGTGAATCTTCATGGCTTTGTAAATAGGATGATTAATATGAGTAGTATGGTTAATATTATATGATACTCAAGTTTCTAATAGAAAAATTACCCCCAATATATGCGCCCGCTGACTTTCCAAAGTCGGCTCGGACGCTACAGCCAAACAGCACAGTTCCCGCATCACAGGCTACAGATGCCTTCCCTCCCTTCTGGAGACTGCTCGGTGTGGAAACCAGCGTCTTACAGGACAGTTTGGGGGCAGCACAACAGGCAGCATAAGACCAGGTACCTTCATTTCAAGTTATCTTCAGTTAGATTTTGCTATTGTTTGGCTAGATACAGGTCTTGTAGTGATGTCTGACATAAAACGTGCGTGCTTTAAACCGGCCAAAATTATTTAAATAAATATGATTATCCTGATTATGTTAGTTGAAATGATGTTGTGTAAAACACTTTCAGATATGTTCAGGTTTTCTTTCTCAAACGTAAATACGTTGAAGATAACATTGTTAAGCGTTTCGTTTCTTGATATTTTAAAGGGCATTAAAGTTACTTACAAATTTACAGTAACTGGTACCATACTATTACACTGACCTACAGTAGTGCCTTCATTTGAGGCAACGCATCCCTTTTGATTGTCCGATGGGAAGGATCCTATCATCTCAGAGTCCCATGTCCAGGCCGTACAGCCTAAACGAGAGAGAGTAATCAAATCAATGCTGTTAACAGATAATATACCATTGACAATTTACATAAGCAATTCAGTCGAACCCCCTTGTCTCGAACTCCTGGGGACTTATCCGGGGTTAGAAACGTCCGATTCAACCTTATTCTGACTCAGCTGGGTCCTTGCGTAACCTCGGCTTCTCCCGTCTACACACCACGACTAAGGACGTCTACTTGAACACGAACTAATTATGTAAATACATGGCGTAGTTACAACACATTAACACACATAATCCTTATTCACACTTTTCTCAGTGGGCTATTCAAATACGAATCGGTCTTTCCTGTAACTTAAACTTCACGTATTTTACTCTGTGGGGATTCAGTGGTATAATA